ATATTTAAAAGAAGTGCCTCAAAACCTAGCAAACTTTGAACAAATATATTCTCATCAAGAATCTGTACTTGTAACTGAATATCATCATGAAAATACGGGAGAATATAATATTGATGACTCAAAGCTGCTCTTCTGAATATTTTCAATACCGATCTTATACAAATTCATCGATTTGAAGGAAATATATTCCCACTACAAACGTTGATTGTATCCAATATTACAAATATTCAAGCATTGATTATACAACAAGATTATCATTATTACTGTTTACGTCGTTTTGAATTGACCCTCATACGCCTACCTATAGGACTACCACTTATAGCCCACCTGGGCTCCACATGGACCCCAGCTCAATAAGATAGATATAATACACCTTTTAAGTAGTATACTACAATAGTGTTATGTGGTATATAGTTTGTCTCTTAGACACTCATAAGCTTATAAAAAGAAACTATATTTCGTTATTTTATCGTTTATTTCTAAAACATTTTCGTATAATCTAATTACTTTCATCCTAAAAATGTTTCACTACACATCGTGCAAACAACTTTATGATGATCTGGACAGCAGGGAGCATTACAACTTAAACAGTGAGTAATAACCTTGCAATCACACTCTCTTGGGCAAAAATGACAACGTTGTTTGGGAGTAGCCGTTGAAACAATAGATGGGTGTGAAGTAGTAACAGTTAGTCCAATCGCTTGTACAGCCATCAGAACGTTCTTTTGAAGTGTCTGTGGTTGATGTCGTCGTCGATCCAAATGCAACTGAACAAGATCATAACCGAATTCCATTATAAATAGACGTCGACGGTAGTTTTTCTTTTCATTCCATTGAGGCTTTTTGGTTGTCCATACCACAAAAGCAGCAAGGGTACCAAGATCAAGTGTGTTGAAAAAGAAAGTCAATGGCCATCGTTTTGTCTTTCGTTTGCACGAATAAGTTCGAACCATCTGGTCCATATGATCGACACCACTTTTTGTGTCATTGTAATATAAAATAATTTCTGGCTCTTTCTTTTCATCGTCTACAATTGTCTGATCATGATGAAGAGACGACAGCAGAATTACAACATGAGATTTTTTCGGCACATAACTAACTAATGTTAACTGTCGATCGAAACAAAATATCGACGATTGCTCGAGAAGTTGTGTATTTGGCTGTAGCTCCCGTGGAATTTCCTTTTTGTTTCGTCGAATAGTTCCTACAAGAGTTGTTTGAACATCTAGAAGATCTTCTGCCAAATCTGCGCTGGTAAAATAGTAGTTTGTAGTAATGGTTCGTCTTGTATTGATCCAAGGATGTACTAATCGTTTCACTAAATTATGAATTCGATTTGTATCTTTAGCTGCAGCAGCTGCTGCTGCTCCAGATTGACGACCGAGATAAACTTCAGCATTCAAAGGATATGCTGTATCTGAATCACAACACCAAAAGATCTTCAGTCCATATTTCCCCGGTTTACTAGGCATATATTGACGAAAATTGCATCGACCACGAGCTGGAATAAGCTGTTCGTCTACCGTTAGTGATCCACCAGGCGTGTAGCATATTTGTAATCGACCTAAGAACATTGTCCATAAATCTCGTATTGCTGCTAGTTTATCTTACTTTAGTCTTTCCTCTCGTGTTGTTGTATCGTCGAATCGGCAAAACTAAAGTAAGGCTTTGAAACGATTCTTGAACATAGTTGCTCGAAATATAGGTCGTCCATTGATCATTGACTATAATCCATTGAAACTTTCATTCTTTGATCGATGAACACCTGCGAGGAGTAATAACCCAATGAAAGCCCACATTTCTTCGAGATCCGTATCCCTCCATTGGTATTCTTTATCAGAATTTTTCTTATTCCATTGTTCCAAGATCAGATGCACTCGTCGATTAGTTCCCTTCACCAAAATAAGAACCATTGCTTGTCTGATCAGCACCTGAAATGCTTCTTTTACTGTTTGTATACCTGCAACAGGTCGTCCAACACCATTTTGCTGCCGTAAGATATTAGCTGATGATATTTTTCGTTTGGAAGGTTCCTTTGATGTCCATTGACGTCCAAATTTTGCTGTAAATATTTAAACCGGTGATTGTTCAATCTTTGGTTGACGTTTTGCTCGACGTCTAGGTGGTTCATCATCACTGTTACTTTCAGTTTCAACAGTACTTCTACCAGATTCGTCATCTGAATCCATTTAAACCACGCCACCATCTGATTCATCAGGACTTTCTTGAAGAGTAGAAGGTATTTCGTCATCTTCAGAATCATTATCAATATCATCATCTTCGTCATTCGACTCATCGTTGAAGTGTTTGGAATATCGAGACCAGTGTTTCGATTGATTGGAATTAGAACGTTTCTTCGAATCCATATGTTTTCGTACAATAGTCGTATATAGTGAGATATATAATGACTTGACTATTTCAGTGAATGGGTTTATATAGGTTTTTATGAAGAAAATCAAAGAATTCACTAGAAAACTGCAGAAATAAGTGGAATTACTAGAAGCTACAAAAGAGAGCATATGTCATCTATACAGAAAGAACGAGAACAAAAACATGTGTACTTGAACATACCAGAAAAATGATGTACGTATGCACGTATGATAGCAGAAAGAAAAACCTATGCATGTAGAGTGGTACTGCACAATAGTATTATTCATGAGAATATTCAACTTTTACATTGGAGACATAATTATTTTAAAAAATAACAGAAGAGTTGTAAGAATAGTCAGATATACAGAATATTCCGTTGTAATGCGACTGATATGCTTCACAGTTTATTAGACAACTATGGAATATTCCCACAGGAGTGGACAGATGTATAAAATACTAGCGAGAACTCGTGCATACTGCACGGTAGTTCTTATCACTGTAAACTGATTTTCTGTCAGAATCAAGAGATTAGAAGGTATATATAACTAAAATCTTTGGCACTCACAGAAATCCCAAAAATATTTTGTCAACATCCTTTGATAGCCGCTCTTTGAATAGAGTTTCACCAAAAATTCTAGAAACTTCTGGAATATTCTAGAAACTATCATTTCATTGCTCATTTTTCACCTTTAACATTTGATCCGGCACAGATAAACACACACACAGAACAGTATATATGTCGTGCCGAAGTTACACTCTGTGCCGAAGTTAAACTTCGTCTGCCGAAGTTATAACTTCGACACAGAGTGTAACTTCGACACGACATATATAAAGATTATGCTACTGTTCCATTATAACATCATGATTCATGATCTCATTCCATAGTATTTTATTTCTTTTTTTCTCTTTCTCCCTTTTTTTAAAACTGTTTAAGTCGTCAATTTTTGGTTATTGTGATTCCTTAAATTTTGCTCTCCAAAACAGTAAGCTTTAACCGTTAAATAAAATCATCAACAAAACCATCAGATCAATCAAAGGTTTCTAAGTTTCTTGACCATCGAAAACATTTCTTTTAAATACACTCGATTGTCGACCTTTCTGGGGCAACGTGGCACATATCAAAAGATATGAGAACACACTTTCTCTTTTTGAAACTTTTGAAATAGTTCTAATACACTTCATGAAGATCCACCTTCGTGCTCTTGAAAATTCTGGAACATTCTAGGAGGTTCTACAAAGGTCTATCTTCCTTCTCTCTAGAAAGTTCTGAAATATCTGCGAAGACGTCGCAAATATATTTGATGTTCGCCTCCTGAAAGTTCTAGAATATTCCAGAAGGTTCCATGAAGAATCCGCTCTCCTTTTCTTTTTCGAAAGTTCCGGAACATTCTAGACATTTCCAAAGACCCATCTACCAGAATTCAGAATGTTCTGGATGCTTTCTTTGAGTCTCATTGATCACATTCCAGAAAGTTCTAGGAGCTTATATATAGCAGTGGATACCACAGGCCACATAATATTCGATGTTTTTTTGACCCGGTACAGAGAAATGGACACACACCGAATATTATATATAAGGATGAGAATAAAAAATTTATAGTCAAATATTAGGAGAAAACTAATGTTATAATATGGGGTCCAGTTGGACCCCCAGGTGGGCAATATACGTATATATGCACTTTGAAGTAATTTATCTCATAGATGACTTAAAGAGATAAGCGAATACTTTCTACAGTATACTCTACTACTCTTCACTGGAGCATATCTAGAGTGGCGTGATATGATCTGTCATCATACATGTAAAATATTAGAATGAAACCAGCTGGGATCTGCGTGGACTCCAGGTGGGCATTTCAGGGTTAACATATCACTGCACACATGTTCATCTTTCTGCACTTCTTATCCCTAACTTCCACCTATAACATAAGAGTAAGAAAAAGTGAAACTAAATTCCTTTTCACCTATTTCCGAATGACTTTTTACTCAAATATTTTTTTCCGATTTTCTTCTTTCTGGTCTTTGTTATTTCCAGTGACGTTTCGATTTGAAATTATATGTCATGTATCTCTTTACTCTTTCAATGATATGCATTCCATCGGATAATAATACTCGAGATAGATTTAACTATAGAAATCACTAATGCAATTATCATATGAAAATCGTTGTACATTTGTTGCACCTTTCATTTCTTTACAAATGAATATATGACATAAAGAAGAAATATTCGAAATTTTATTTGAACTGAAAATCAATGATAAAAAATATTCTGTCTCTGATGGAATTATTTAAAACCGAAAATTGTCAAAGTTAATATGTGTACCATAGGTATATGATCTGAAAAAGATCATATCAATCGTCAAATGTGTTTATCATTATTTTGCTCCATTATCGGCCGTAAAGCATAGATAATGTAAGAACCGATTTTCGGATCGTTTTTGGTTTTTTTATTGATTTACCATGAACTTGTTTAGGATTATGTTCGATCATTGTTGGAATATTTCTCAGCAAGATCTGTTGCCGTGATTCAATACCATTAGGTGGTAATCGCCGTTGTGGATGATATTCAGCACCATGTGGCAAAGATATTTGTGACATGATGGATAATCGACGTTGACCATTGATGAAGGTAGTCATACGACGTTCATCTTGTTGTTGCCCACTAAGAGAAACCAACATGGTGTTTGATTGTCGTTTACCAGTTGCCCTTTCTATTCGATGATAATTTCGTGCCATTTTACCGTTTTGTAAGTAATTCAACCCAGCTGGGCAGTAGTTGTTATGCGTATTGTTTAACAATTAAGGTTGTCGTCTTACTAGAGTAAGAATTAAATTCTGCATGTCTATCAACAGTATTTATACAACAAAGAGTAGATGATATTCAAGTACTTGAAAATGAAATCATCCATAGATATTTTTCTGTTTTATTACCATGTATCATAAACATAATTCAAGACATTTTATTGTATGATATATGGCTTAAAATAAAGTATAAGTNCTTCGCTTCACCTGATTATTGATTCAATGCTGGATTTTTTACAACTAAGATAACAATCATTGTTGATACTCAACAAAGTGCGCTATTTGTCGATTACTTCTCAAACTTTTACTGCTCTAGTGCAAACAGTTACTCAAAGATATCGTGCGCAAATAGATAATATAATTTTCATTACAAATCTGCGTGAAACGAATCGCTGTGTCAACATTCGTATCTTATTTTCAATGAATGAGAATGAAATTCATGCTTATAAGTATTAGTCTTTGTCGAAAAAATCACTGTTTATTTTGTTTCTTTGACGATCTTTATTTATGTATTTGCGATGAAGATCACTATCGAACTGAATGTTTTAATTATAATCACAATTTCGAACGATGTTCGTCGTGTTTTGCTGGTGGTCAATGTTTAATTCGAAATCGATTATATAAAAATAATTACCTCTGTCTTTGTCCACGATATCGTTCTGGTCGATTATGCCAATTTATGGACGATGGATTGAGCTTTACTCTTCATTCTGCTCGCCTTCGCGTTCATTATGTTTATCAAATTGATTACTGCATTATTACTTTTCTTATCTTTATTTTTGGTGGAATAATGAATTATGCGACATTGATTACATTCAATCGACCGAATTTGCAAAACACAGCTGTGGGAGTCTACCTTTTGTTCTATTCTATCACTAGTCAGTTGACATTGTTTGCATTAACTTTGATAAGTTGTCAAATACTTGTAGATTTTCTGATAAATGATATCCTATGTAAAATCATCTCATATATACTTTCAGTTACTATGCGCTGTTCATTTTGATTGATTAGTTGGGTTGCGATTACACGCGTTGGTTTTATTTTATTTCCGTTTTCAAGTTTATTCAAAAACTTTCAACTTACGATAATCATAAGTTTTCTAACATCAATTCTCATTACAATTATGCATATTCATGAATTATTTTTCTATTTGAAAGATCCAAGTGCACAATCAGTATGTATTGTAAGTTATCCAGCATTCGTATCCACATATGAGTATACTGCCGTTGTAATTCATTATACAGTTCCATTTTCGATTCAAATTTTATCAATAAGTGCGTTGCTTATCTTAGTTGCACGGAGTCAGTCTCGTGCAACGAATCGTTCTGACACATTTTTCAAATATATCCAACGACAATTTCGAAATCAAAAAGAAATGTATATCGTTCCTATCGGGATTATCATAAGTGATTTACCAAAATCAATTCTATCATTTAGTTTTTCGTGTATGGATTTATTCGAATGGCAAAAACATCTTTTACCTATTGCGTATCTTTTTGCTTATACACCACAGTCACTTGGTTTTGTTTTGTTTGTTTTACCATCGATAAAATATTTGAAAAGAATTTCAAACAACGAATTTGTCGAAAACGTTCATTTCTCGATCGATCATAACCAAAGTCAAGCGAAGAAATTTCGGACCAACGACAACATTAAAATAATTTGCTTCAGATGACTTCTATTTTAAATCTTTTGTGTATTGTTTTCTAAATACTAACTTTTACGAAGAACTATGGTGTGAGAAGATAAATTGAAAAAGATTGTCACATTCGCAGTTTCAGATTGTTTAAGATTATTTTCTTTGTCAAAATATGTGCAAGATTGCTTCATCGTGTTGTTTCGATTTCGTATTCTCTTCATATTCGATAGAGACAAAATATATTTTTGTATGTACAAACACGACGAAGAATAATCCATTCTTTTGTCATACTTGATTGACTGGTTTCTTCTCTCATTTTGTTTCCCTCACTGATCTGTGTACTTTCTTTTATATCTACAAACATTAATCAAAAGAAGCTTTATTAGACTCTCATCGAATTGAAAATGGATTTTCTCACGTATCAAGATGAACACAATGACTGGAAATGCTGACGAAACAGTTTTTCTTCTCCTGGGGGTATCTCTGCTATAATGATTGATTTCCAGAGAAAAATCATGTTTGTTTCGTCAAATATTGCTACTTAAGAACTGAAATTTTAGAAAAATGAACGAACAAACATCAAACTCAAATTTCGTTACCTCATTATCACGAAATATGCGTCACCATCGACAATATATTCAACAGAGTTATTTACTGGTTTGAACTAAGATTGATATTGATCAATGCCGAGACAGCTATCAACAAATATAAAAAAAATTACGAAAATGTTTCAATCATAGTAACACTTTTATTGAAGTCGATCAATGTGTTGCTTTCTTCAATCAAATCAAAGATATAAAAGTATTGATGTTTACAGACAATGCTCTTGCACAATCATTTGTAACTTGTGTTCATGATGACTCACGTCTTGATACGGTTTACCTATTCACTAACACTTTAGCTCGTTCTGTATGTTGGGCATCTGTGGACGTGTTAACAAAATCTACTTATACATAGTCCGCATGCGATCGAAAAGCGACTAATTTTTGACTTAAATGAACTGATGCATCTCATGCTTCTTGAAGTACACGATGCAATAGAAGTTGTTGAAATTATCACGATGCATTGAGTACGATGGCCATTTATAGCCTGCATCAATACCTCTTGTCTCTGCGTAAACAAGCTGTGCATGATGTGAATAATAAAGAGATTTCCTTATGTCAATTCCAATCTCGTTCAGTTGAGTTTCGAGTCCAAGTTCGTACAGTAATTTAACACAAAGTGGTTGAAGGACAATACCGAATCCGATTGGATCAAGCATTGCTAATCGTTCGTTAACACGCACAGAAAAGCCAGCACGATGCAAACATAAGGCTGCAATAAGACCATCGATTCCAGCTCCAGCGATGAGCACATCGACTATTTCAGACTTCGATTCCGTATCGCTCATCAAAATACCTGTCATCAAAAAAACGAATGATCAAAAGTTTTGTTTTAATTCATATTTATCGTCCGTGATTATCATATATATCAGATATGTTGTTCGCGATTGTCGAAGAACATCAGAGAAGTGAAAAAGTCAGAAAAACTAACGGTTATTTATATTTATCTAATGGACTGAATATGTAAAAAAAAACAAAACGTAACTTATTGGCTTACATAACTGAACTAATTAAAATAATAGAACGAGAGGGGGCACATAGTATTGACAATAAGAAGATCGGTAATCGAGTCTGAAATCATTCACGAAGTTCACCATTCCTTTTTGAAGAAATCTTCAGATTTGTTGTCCAATTCAATGCATGAATATTTGACATAACGTTGGTAAACTGTAGAATACTTATCATACTCAATGAGCTTTCTCATCATGTGTATTCATAAGGATCTTAAATGGTATAATTACATGCATGAAAAGACAATGATAGAAATCAAATACTATATTGGAAAGTCGTGGGAAAACAGTGATCCATTTTGAACATTCTTGTGAAAGACAATCTCATGTACATAAGCATAGGATGGGGAACTTGATTCATCAGAACAGAGCGATTTGACGTACTTTCTCTCACTGAAATAATACGATCGGTGGTCGATAATAATTGATCCTTTTGGAAATGAACAATAAGTATTGTATTGAAACGTGTATTAGAATGGTAAAAAGCACGGCACAAATGAACACCATTGGAGTATTCGAAGAAATCGAGTACAATTTCATTCTTTCTTTTTGTTTTTAATCTTGAATCAAACTAAAATGCATCCGCATAAAGTTGTTCTGTACTATGACAACAGAAAATGTGTTCGATTGTTTTGTGTCATCAATACTAAAATTCTGTCGGTGAATTTACTCATTTTTGATGGATTGAAAAAATTAAACCTTCATAGTCGTAATATTGTACCTGGTGATAATTTGATACATCATGAGATGTATTGAACATACAAAACACCATGGCGAAAAATTACGAATATTCTGTAATTCTTACACAACATCGAAGAAAATTTTGTCTGTTCGTTTTGTTATGAATGATGTCGAGTTTTCAATAAAAAAACGCTCGTCTACGTATCAAATAAAAATATTTTATGCATGAGTAATTATTCAAATTATTAAGGTAAACATGTAATACTCATCCCCATATATGTAATTGAGAGTATTTTATTTTGAATAACATTTTTTTCTCAATCTATTCGATATTTCATGACGGCTGCTACAAATCAACCAACAGAGAAACCTCCTGTCGTTTTCTCATATAGTGATTGCGGAGGATTGGTTGATCATGTTTATAAGTATTTAAAACCTAAATTAGAATTTCCTGTTTGGATGGATAAACATGATGCTCACAGTGGTAGTTTCAGTTCCAGGTAAATTCTTCTTATCCTCTCAGAATCAAAATTGACGTTGTTTTTCTGTGATTTTAGTCTAGCTAGTACCATTGAAAAGTGTGGTGCTCTCGTGTGTTTCCTAACTCCTGAATATCAAGAGACATCAGGTTGTGAACGAGAATTGACATACGCTGCAAATCAACGTAAAACAATTATTCCAGTTATTGTTGGCAAATCCAATGCTTTTGATGTTCCTAATGACGAAGAAGAGGACGACGACGACGAAGACGATTGGTTTCCAAATGATTGGTTGGGTTTGATTGTAGCGGATTTATCTGTAATTTATTTTGATGGTGTTACAAAAGAAAACATTGGTGAAAAGTGTGATGAACTTAAGACCAGAATTGAAAATACTCTCAAAAATACGATAGCACCAGTAACTAAATAATTTTCCTTTTTCTATATACTTCTACATCTTTTGAAAATTGAAATCAATAAAATTCTCTATGAACTAATGAAAAAAAAACCGACAAATTAAAAGTTAACTCCGCTCGATTGTCAATTTATCTTCTGACATACATATCAATATTTTGATATTCGATGAGAAATTCAGATTGTTGTTAATCTACAAGTCTACATTTTGATGATGATAACTCTCGTTGACATTTATTGATAGGATTAAATTTTAAAATTTAATATATCTTTTTACCTTATTCTTAACCAAAAGTATTATTTGATGATATGCTCCATTGCATCTAATACATTAAGAAATAAAACACGTTATTGCACATAGATGTGAAATATTTATTCATATTTAGGGAGGATCGATAATATTATTTCAACGATCATTTAGAAAAAAGACTTTGGTGTCATTAGAGTTTCTNCAGTCTACAGACTAATGCATGAATTACATCATTTAAGATGTAAGGAAACAAAGAAAGTATCACAAGAACAACAAGCAATGGAAGAGAAAAAGAAAGAAGAACCAATTGTGAAAAATCTTCGTAGTCGTACTATTGTATATCCAACAAGCAAACCACTTCAATATTCAACGTCTAATGCACCAGCTAGAATTCTTCATCATCGACATACTGCATCTTCTGTCTATCCATCAAAAGATCATCTTGTTCCTCAAGCTTTGCTTCCCGAAAAAAAGAAAGTAAAAAAAGCTTTATTTGAATAGTTCGAAATTTAATTCTTCTCGTCCTAGTGCATTCTGGTCGTCCGAAGACTGTTTTATCAGAACAAGGCAAAGATTTAATACGACTTGAATTTCATAAAGATATTCAAGAAAAAGTTTATCCAACTTCGGAAAAGTTGCTGAAAAGATTGACAGAACAATATGAAGACTTTTCTATTCGTTCGACAAGTACATTGCGTAAAACACTGAGACATGTAAGTGAAATGTTTTTTTATGTAGACAAGAAAGAAAGAAAAAAACTACCTTCTTTTACTTTTTTAGCTTGGTTTCATATATCAACGAACATCAAAAATCAAAATAGCATTAGATTCACAGGCTTTTTGTTGCAGCAAGAGCGAAATATTTTCAGACTCTAGAAGAACTTTGAGCAGCTACTGTTCATTTGTACTATCACGATGAAACTTGGATAAACCTTCGAGAAGTTAAACGATCTATTTGGACTTTAAATGGCGAAGGTGAAATCAAAAAAAGGTGGTGGAAGAGGTAAGCGATAAAATCACTCGTAAAGTATCCTTTTACACGTCATTATTTGTTTTGTTCACAGGATCCCGTCTGGCGGTATCAGCACTAGTAGATGTCAATGGTTATCATATTCCATCAGTTGATATTTGGACTTGTACAGAAGATCATAATATGCATTCAACTTGCGCAACTTTAAGAGAGGAGATTGGTAAGCGGATGCATTTTGAGTCGAATTTTTTAATGATTTTTGACATTTTCTTCTTAGGAAAGAAAGAACGAATTGCTATCTGTCTAGATAACGCGACTCGGCACAATAAACTCACAAAAGAATCAGTGATTCCGAAACGTGCTTTGTCAAAGGGAGAAATTCAACAATGGTTAAAAGATCACAAAATTAATTTTTCGGAAAAATTCATTAAAGCTCAGTTGTTAGAGCTCGTGTGTGCCAATTGTCTACCTAAAGAATATATTGTAAGCCATTTTAAACTCCTATTTCGAGATTTTAACACTATGTTGTTCCTTATTATTTTGTTGAATACAGTGATCAAATTGGGAAAAAGTATGGTATAGAAATATTTCGTTTACCAATACTACATTGTAGCCTCAATCCTATTGAATTGTCGTGGAATAATCTCAAGCAATTCGTTCGTGATCAAAACGCGACGTTTCGTCAGGATGATGTGAAACAACTGATTGAGCAATTTATAGTCGCAATGGATGATAAGCGTGCAACTTCCTATTTTCACCATGTTGGTAAAATTGAAGAAATGTATAAAACAACTGATACAATTATGGAGGAAGACGTCGAACCTTATTTACAATCAGACAGTCAAGAAACAGATTCGGATGACGAGTAGTAGAATACACAGAAAAAAATGTCTTCCATTCATAATTATTTTAATTCGATACGTTTTTGTGTATCAACAACAGGATCTCGATTGCTATAGAAGATTTTATAAGAAATTGAAAGATTATAAGATCAACTGAACTAAAAAAGGTTGTAATCTGAATATATGTTTAGGAAAATTTCGTTTCTTAGTGAGAAATTCCTCGTATAATTTCAATGTTAAAATATCACTGGTATTTCCAGGAAGGAAAGTAGAAAAATTCTGTCGATACCATTTCGTCAGCGAGAGTCCACTGTACGAAGAGCTTTGAATGGTGGCTTTCCCGCATAGGTATCTGCCCCCGACCCTTCTCTAACGAATGGTGAAAACTGCAGGTCTAAATAACTTTCCAATCAAAAGTTACAAAGATTTCTTCCACCTGCCTTTTATAAAAATTTCGATAGTAGTATATAATAATCAAGTTTATATTAATATGAATAATTTCAGCAAGAGAAAACATTCAAAGTTACTCATTCAGTTGAGGGTTAAGCGGGTCTGCCTCGATGAGTGTTACTCGTTTTTATTAGAGGTAAAAATATACTAGAGATGTTCGGAAAAATGCTCAAAATCTCGGAAATTTTGACAGAGAGTACTTCATTGTTTTTCCATCCAAAGTGTTTTCTAAAGCATACCAGCATTTTGAAGCGGAAAGAGTGGTTGGATCTCCATGTATTCATCCAATATTTACAAAAAACTATTTAACCAATTATTTTATATTTTTATAGTGGTATTGAGAGTGACAGGTGATGGTGAAGAACATTAACAAGAGAATAATCATATTCTCATCTATGCCTTCTATATAAGAAAGTGATATCAAATCTTATGTAAAATATTTCATCAAGTTATTTATTTTTAAGATCGAATCCAGGAAAGATGCAAAGATTTTGAAGCACTCTACAATTTTTTTTGTGATATATTCGATTATTATTTTTTTTATTACAAGTACCAACAGATAAATTATTTGGAAAAACTTTTCTTTTCTAATCATTGAATATGGCAAGAAAAATTACATTATCAATCATGTATTGATGAAAATAGAATCAAAGAGGAAGAGTAACAACGACAACACTCCATGAAGGAATAGTTATTGACCAAGTTCCATTTATTGATGAAATAGATTTTGTAACAATTGATACTGCATTTGGATTATCCATCGTATTCGCTACTTTTGAAGGATCAACACCTGGACCAGCAGATAAAATATAAGCCGTACCTGTGGCTGATGCCATTGAACCATGAATTTGAGTTTTGACAATAGTATCATTTGAATCTACACTTGCTAATTTAACAATTAATGTATTGTTATCAGTATTTTTAGTAGCAATAAAATAGAGATTGCCAAGTTTGCCATCACCTTCTTGTCCTTGTTGAACTGATTGATGTGTCATTGTACTATTCGTAGCTGTAGAATGAAGAATAATATTACCAAGATTTTCAGCAAAGATCTTTTGAGCAAGATATGAAGTTGTTTTAAGAACTGAACTAGCATTAAAAACAATTAAATTTGGTGTCCATTGTGTAATATCAACATTTTGAAGAATAGGAGCATACAAACCAGCAATGATAATATCTGAATTACGTTCAAAACCAATACGATAAACAGATTCTGCAACAGCAGATTTCATTGAAGAAAAACTTATTCGACCCGATCCCCATGGATTGTCCATTTGCGAATCATCATCATTAATAACTGCAAATTCTCCAACAAGTACTTTTGGACCTGGTCGAGGTACATTTTCATAACGACGAAAATTTTCTATATAAAATAATGGTACTTGGTAATTATGGTCATCAACAACCGGTGGAGTTGTAATACTAGTGGTTGTTGTTGCAATAAATGTTATATTAGGAAATCGTTGAGAAAGAGCATTATAAAAATCTCTCCATCGATAACCATATGTCTGGGGACCATAACCATTAAAATCTTCATTACCTATTTCAACATAACGAATATCGAATGGTTGACTTCGACCTAAACGTTTTCGTAGACCACCCATTTTATTGCTATCTGCTGATGCAGTAAGGAAATCTAATTCATTGATTACTTCATCAATATAAGGTTGTAATTGATCTTCTGGTACAGCTTTACCATCAACTGAGTAACCAGCATACACTGCAAGAATAGGTGTTGCACCGATATCTTCAGTAAAAGTTAATAATTCCAGTAATCCGAAACCTTGTGTATTATAACCTATCCATCTGCCTCTTCGTCCAGGTCGATTTTCAAGAAAACCAATTGTATTATTCCAAATAAAGCGTTCGGGAATCGATAGACCTTCAAGATCATCACCACCAGGGAGTCGAACACAACCAGGTTTTAAATCACTAAATACCTGCGCAATATCATTTCGAGCACCATTTGGTCGATTTTTAAATGTTGGTGGAAAACATGATATTAAATTGAATTCAAAATCACCTTGACTACCTGAAGGAAACTGGATAAAGAAGAAATTCTTTGAAGTTGGAGCAGCATTAACAACCGTAATAATAAAAGTAAAATAATACCATTGATTAATAGGTGCTTTAGATACATTAACGGTTTGCATAGCATAAATAATCTGACCAGTCGAATCACTAAAACCAATACTCAAAGTATTACCAGGTAAATATGAATTTGTCAATGGTCGATAAAAGAAACTTGCTGTATAGTTTTGAGCTGCTACATTTATACCAGCGAAACCTCCATTTCTAAAACCAGATATGTTATTTGATTGAGCATTAATTGAAAATCTCATTTGAGCAGGTAGAGCAGTACTTAATGGTTCATCTGTATTAATATTTGCTGATGCTTGTCCAAAGATTAACCAGCCATCCAATGATCGACCATTCTCTAAATATAAATTATATTTAATTGAAAGAATTATGTATTCAAAGAATATAAAAACCTTGAAAAGCACGATTATAAATAAGTTCTGCGTATAAACCACCATCATCACCTCGATTAATATTCGTTTCTAGAATAACACCATGCATTATTGATGGAATGGCTTGACCAGAATCAGCATTTTCAATATTGAGTGAGACAATATTGTCATTGCTTTGATGAGCACTAAGTAATCCTGGCACAGCTGTTGCGAGAAAACTTATATAGAAAATAACTAACATCGCTATAATCTATAGGTATTTTTAAAAAAGAAAAGACAAAATATAAAGAAATGACTTCTATTTCATCACTTATTATATACTAGAAGTGTTCCTAGATAAAAATAAATAAAAGTAAAAAGTACACCCTCAAATATTAAGTACACTAAATAAAATATTATCAAGCACAGGTCGAATAAAAATCTAACACTATAATTAGGAAAAGAAAAATGATAAAAATGATGTATTATATTTTAATAAAGGATCTACGAATGTTACGTATCATTGTGACAATCTCGCTCACATGCACTATACGTATGTTGTTTACTCTCTTTCTTTCTTATTTCAATACATTTTGATATACTCTTGCATTATCTTTTCTTTTCTTCTATGTAATGAATGAGTATACGACGGTGTGCATTATACAACAAAAATGAATAGAAACACACTGTTATCACTGCAGATTGTGTAAGAGTCGCAGTAAGAGTGAGATGAGATTGGGTGTGTGTTAACGAACTATAATCATATCCACAACCTCACACACCCTCTAAATTAGGAAAGGAAACGATGCCAAAGGACTGGAAGAGAAATTGATTTTTGTGATATTGTCTTACCTCGATATACAGGATCATACGATAAAGGTGACAATGAAATGAACTCATCAAAAGAAATATTTTGAGACATAGATACCGAATGGTTTAACGCGTATGATGGCGTTACTCGAAAGTGATATTTCCCAAAGTGTGTTGTAGAATTCTGATTGGTGTATGCAATGAAACTTACTCTTCCAGGAAATGAGACAATCCAACCAGTCAGATATGTTCTGTTGGCTATCAATTTCTGAAAATAAAATAAAATCATTCAATGTACTCTAAATCATTTTATTCATGAGATGACTAACAGACTTTTGAATCATGTAATATTCAAAACTAATGACTTCAAGAAAAAGGATCCACTTTTTATCGACTTTTTTTTACAGATTTGAGGAAAAATCGTAAACCATATGCTTACGTTCTGCTCGGCATCACCATTAACTACCAAGTTTTTGCTTGGAATAGGTCCCCATGTTCCATTAGGCAAAATAGAATTATACAGTTTCGATCTTATCAATGGTTCATCTGGTATAATTGATCCTGTCAGGTTCGTACCTATAGAATCAGTATTTTGATTAACTAGTCTAGCACCACTAAAATTGCATCCGACTAGCGATGCTCCAACAAAATCCGTCTGAAAAAATGTCGCTTGACTAAAATCTGAAAGATGTTCGTACGAATCGTGTTTCGGTAACAACTGTCTTGTACATAATAGAAAACGAAAAGTTTGCATGATCAATCAAACAGTTGATAAATGATGCGTTCGACAAGTAAACATGATGTAAGTAGATATATTTAAACGAACAGGTAGCATCCACTGTGCCCCGAAAATAGATTCCATTGAAGTCAGCATCCTTGACTTTCAAAACAGACGAAATTGTCTTTTTATGATGAATGATAAATTAGTTCACTATCATAAAGAAACAACAGTACATGTTTTTTTCGTTCTACATCGAGTGGTCGAAGAGTAGCCAATGTTTTAGCACGGATTTTCAACAACGTATCTTTGGTGTTATTTATCGTGTAAATTTTCTGCGTGAAGATCAGACTGTTGTCTCAAGAGTAGGGCATCATGTTTGTCTTGTTCACGTTGTGCAGAGGACAGTTTTTGCTGTTGAATTGCAGTGATAACAGTGAAAAGACCCATAGTGGATGAAATCAACGCAGAGAAGGACAGTTTGATTAAACTCAAACGATTTTATTTTTTTGCCATCTGAGCATTGCTATCAGCGAAGATTCTCATTTGAATACTATTGTTCAATAAGATTATAGTGTCAGATTCATTTCATAAAATAGGATACGTGATTGTTTATCACTTTCGAATCGAGATATTGGCACGTGCATACAACGGAAAAAGTAGAAAATATGTGTTAAATCACGTTTCTTATCCTCCAACATGATTCGATTTGAAATATTCAAGAGATCGATTCTTCATTAATTGTTGACGCGTTAACTAAATAATATAAACTGACATCCGCAAATTTCGTTATTTTTTAATCAGAACAGGAAAATCTTCAATGACACGTTTAAAAACATTGTTTTTACTTATATTTTTCTTTCATACAAAAGATATTGTGTATGAAAAATTCAAATAGAAAGAAGCAGACATGAGATGATGAGGATGAATGAAAAGAACAACAGCGCCCCTCATGATTTCAAATGTACATATGATTCAACAAAAACATGTGCTACATCTTTATTTCTTGATATACAAATAAAATTAGGCTAAGTAAAACCAAGAATAAATGGAAATGATCGATCTATAGACAATGCAAAAACAAGAGAGTCTTGTAAATAGTATAGCTGTTCTTTCGGTATTGGTGTAGTAATTCATGCAAGCTTTTCGAGGAGCTGTGTGTGCCGTCTTCACTGATCTGCAGAAAAATGACAGAAAAAAGTAGAGAGAATAAAACTCACGCTATTTCTTTTTAGGAAATCATATAAGTATTTCCTCTTTTTGAAATTACATGGATTGTCGTTAAGTTTCATTGTTTCAAGTGTTTATACTCATGTCCAAAAGTACGGACTGGATCTAGAAGAATGATATTGGAAGTCAGCAGAAATTAGAAGCAGGAATCCTTCGAACGGATCCAGCTCATGGTCACGGAATCATTTGCTTCTCTCTAAAACTGAACGAAACTAGACAAAACCGGTCGCAAGATCCAGTTTAAAAAATTCCTTTTTCCGTTTTCCATCGATTGTCGAAAAACTTTATGTTGTCATTTGACAACATCCAGCCATTATAAGTCAAAATTTCATCAAATTGATGTTTTCTTTCCGAATATCAAATTGTAATATACTGTGTTGTTGTTAAATGCGATGTGCCCAACTATCATGAATTAAGAAACCTAAAGAAACTCTCAACTCGGAAACAAGCGATTTTAAAAAAGTCACGGACGTCAAACTGTTAATATCTTTGGAAGATCCCGTATCACTAATTTTCTCACTACTAATTTCAGATAGATCTGTAGTGGGAATAAGAAACACGCTGTTACGCCTGAAAAACAGCTAATTTCATACATAACACACGAGTAAGCGGATATCAGCACCCTAGTACAAATAATAAAATAAAGATTGTGCAACAATCTGTTTCACAAAATATTTATTATTTAACACGTAGTTTAACATATTATTGCATACATATTCATTTTTCTGTACTTACTATCTCTAACTTCCACTTATAGCATAAGAGTAAGAAAAAGTAAAAGTAAATTCCTTTTCACCTATTTCCGAATGACTTTTTACTTAAATACTTTTTTCGATTTTCTTCTTTCTGGTCTTTGTTATTTCCAGTGACGTTTCGATTTGAAATTACGTATATGTCATGTATCTCTTTACTCTTTGAGTGATATGCATTCCATCGGATAATAATACTCGAGATAAATTTAACTATAGAAATCACTAATGCAATTATCGTATGAAAATCGTTGTACATTTGTTGCACCTTTCTTTTCTTTACAAATGAATCTATGACATAAAGAAGAAATATTCGAAATTTTATTTGAACTGAAAATCAATGATAAAAAATATTCTGTCTCTGATGGAATAATTTAAAAATGAAAATTGTCAAAGTTAATATGTGTACCATAGGTATATGATCTGAAAAAGATCATATCAATCGTCAAGTGTGTTTATCACTATTTTGCTCCATTATCGACTGTAAAGCATAGATAATGTAAGAACCGATTTTCGGATCGTTTTGGTTTTTTGATTGATTTACCATGAACCTGTTTAGGATTATGTTCGATCATTGTAGGAATATTTCTCAGCAAAATCTGTTGCCGTGATTCAATACCATTGGGTGGTAATCGCCGCTGTGGATGATATTCAGCACCATGTGGCAAAGATATTTGTGACATGATGGATAATCGACGTTCATCTTGTTGTTGCCCACTAAGCGAAACCAACATGGTGTTTGATTGTCGTTTACCATTTGTCCTTTCTATTCGATGATAATTTCGTGCCATTTTACCGTTTTGTAAGTAATTCAACCCAGCTTGACAGTAGTTATTATTCGTATTGTTTAACAATTAAGGTTGTCGTCTTACTAGAGTAAGAATTAAATTCTGCATCTCTATCAACAGTATTTATACAACAAAGAATAGATGATATCCAAGTACTTGAAAATGAAATCATCCATAGATATTTTTCTGTTTTATTACCATGTATCATAAACATAATTCAAGACATTTTATTGTATGATATATGGCTTAAAATAAAGTATAAGTCAGATCAAATTACCAGTTTTTTTTTCAAGTTACACTGAATAAGATATTGTGTAGCCCATCTAATACCATCGATTTTCCAAAAAAAATGTATCAATAACATCAGCAGAAAACTTTCTATATTGTGGCATAAGAATGAAACTTTGTATTCAGTCTAGCTTATCATGGTGGCAAACATGGAACGATCAAGGCCTTTCCCCTGAATAATATGAATTGTCGTCAACTTTTTCGAAATTGAGATAAATTTATGGGACGATAGCTCATCGTCAGATCTCCTAGATGGCATCTGATTTTTCTTTCATTTGAAAGAGCGTCAAAACTGCATGTGCCATGGGCCCTATTTTTTTTAATTATAGCTTATTGATTTTATATTGAAAAGCATTTTTCTTTTGATTCAATCGCCATTTTTTCAGTTGTTTCAGTGAATGAATTTGTTAACCTCGTCCTCTACTTATTGGATAAAAATTTTTAGAAAAGAAGCCTCAACGTAGCTGCCGTTTTCGACACTCTTTCCAACAGAAAAAGATCTATATATTTGACGAAGATTCTTAGAGAAAACTTACGGAAAGAACAGACAACTTTTGAACTCTTGTTTGGTCCATATCTCCGTCAAACAAGGTAGCATCGAGCCGAAAATTTCACCAGTCTTTCCACATCAGCCTTAACATATCTTCCAAATTTTAACCAATTTTATCAGACTGAGACTGATATTCATTTTTGAGACGGGGAAGGGGCCTGAACAAATTTTTATTTTACTTTTATCATGTTGGAATCAAAGATTGACAACGTTTGTTTTTCGGGAATATGTTTTATTAATACTCTTGTTTGTGAATTTGCAAAGAAATAATTTAGAATTTTTTTTTCGCAAGAACACTATAATATCATGTGATCGTTGTTAAATCATACTGATACAGCTTCGCTTCACCTGATTATTGATTCAATGCTGGATTTTTTACAACTAAGATAACAATCATTGTTGATACTCAACAAAGTGCGCTATTTGTCGATTACTTCTCAAACTTTTACTGCTCTAATGCAAACAGTTACTCAAAGATATCGTGTGCAAATAAATAATATAATTTCATTATAAATTAATGTTAATTTTACCAATATCGTTACAAATCTGCGTGAAAAGAATCACTGTGTCAGCGTTCGTATCTTATTTTCAATGAATGAAGATGAAATTCATGCTTATAAGTATCACAGTCTTTGCCGAAAGAATCACAGTTTATTTTGTTTCTTTCACGATCTTTATTTATGTATTTGCGATGAAGACCACTATCGAACTGAATATTTTAATTACAATCACAATCTCGAACGATGTTCGTCGTGTTTTGCTGATGGTCAATGTTTAATTCGAAAGCGATTATACGTATAAAGATAATTACCTCTGTCTTTGTCCACAATATCGTTCTGGTCGATTATGCCAATTTATGGACGATGGATTGAGCTTTACTCTTCATTCTGCTCTCCTTCGCGTTCATTATGTTTATCAAATTGTTTACTGCATTATTACTTTTCTTCTCTTTATTTTTGATGGAATAATGAATTATGCGACATTGATTACATTTAATCGACCGATTTTGCGAAACGCAGCTGTGGGAGTCTACCTTTTGTTCTATTTGATCGTTAGTCAGTTGACATTGCTTGCATTAACTTTGAAAAGTTGTCAAATACTTGTAGATTTTCTGATAAATGATATCCTATGTAAAATCATCTCATACACACTTTCAGTTACTATGCGATGTTCATTTTGGTTGATCAGTTGGGTTGCGATTACACGCGTTGGTTTGATTTTGTTTCCTTTTTCAAGTTAATTATTTCTCGATTTGAAAGATCCAAGTGCACAATCAACATGTATTATAAGTTATCCAGCATTCGTATCCACATATGAGCGTACTACTGTTGTAGTTCATTATACAGTTCCGTTTTCGATTCAAATTTTATCAATAAGTGCATTGATTATCTTAGTTGCACGGAGTCGGTCTCGTGCAACGAATTGTTCTGAGACATTTTTCAAATATCTCCAACGACAGTTTCGAAATTATAAAGAAGTGCATATCGTTCCTATGGGGATTATCATAAGTGGTTTACCAGAATCAATTCTATCATTTAGTTTTTCGTGTATGGATTTATTCGAATGGCAAAAATATCTTTTACTTATTGCCTATTTTACCATCGACAAAATATTTGAAAGAATTTCAAACAACGAATTTGTCGAAAACGTTCATTTCTCGATCGATCATAGCCAAAATCAAGGGAAGAAATTTCGGACCAACGACAACATTAAAATAATTTGTTTCAGATGACTTCTATTTTAAATCTTTTGTATATTGTTTTCTAAATACTAACTTTTACGAAGAACTGTGGTGTAAGAAGATAAATTGAAAAAGATTGTCACACTCGTAGTTTCGGATTGTTTAAGATTGCTTCACCATGTTGTTTCGGTTTCGTATTCTCTTCATATTCGATAGAGACAAAACATATTTTTGTATGTACAAACACGACGAAGAATAATCCATTCTTTTGCCATACTTGATTGACTGGTTTCTTCTCTCATTTTATTTCCCTCACTGCTCTGCGTACTTTCTTTGATATCTACAAACATTAATGAAAATGAGCTTTCTCATGTATCAAGATGAACGCAATGACTTGAAATGCTGACGAAACAGTTTTTCTTCTACTGGGAATACCTCTGCTATAATGATTAGTTTCCAGAGAAGAATCACGTTTGCTGCGCGAAATATTGCTATTTAAGAATTGAATTCTTAGAAAAATGAACGAACAAACATCAAACTCAAATTTCGTCACCGTCGACAATATATTCAACAAAGTTATTTATTGGTTTGAACTAAGACTGATATTGATCAATCCTGAGACAGCTATCAACAAATATTAGAAAAATTACGGAAATGTTTCAATCATAGTAACACTTTCCTTGAAATCGATCAATGTATTGATTTCTTCAATCAAATCAAAGATACAAAAGTATTTCTGTTTACGGACAATACTCTTGTTATGTTCGTGATGACTCACGTCTTGTTACGGTTTACCTATTACTTTCTGATCAAGAGCAGGATAATCAATGATATATATATATGAAGTTCATGAACAAGCCTCTATTGATTTTCTCTCATACACATGTTCTTCGACATGATAGAACGAAAAAATCTTTTTCTGTCTTCAATTGAAGATAGCCGTATTCAAGAGGTTAAAAGAATATACTATACTTTCTTGAATTAAATCATTGAAAGCTATGGGAGTGGAAACATGGAAATGGGAAACAAAAACTTGATCCCACAGGAAGCTAATACAAAATCCCTTCTTGTCGTAAATGTTTCATTATTATTGAATAAGAGTAAAAACGATTGCATTGCTTTGCTTTTTCTCTACACATCATTATCAGAATTTGAAATAACATTTAGTAGGCAGATAAAACTCAGCTTTCAGAAACAGAAGTCGTGCACCAGTTGACAAAATATGCAAATGATATGAAGTTGTTTATCGATGTGCAGCATCTGTAGCTAATTGAATAAAACTGTAGATCAGCTGGTTGTATTTCATTATCCACAATAATCTTTGTATTGTTTAAATATGGACTCGTGTCATACACAAGATTTATTCGCATTCGCGCAACACATGGAATCATATCACGTTCTCAAGCTGATTGATAGATATAGACCTTCATTGATGATAACCATGATGACATTTGAAATTGTCGTCGTTGCTTTTTAGTAAATCTATTTCTCGGTACTTTTTATTATCAACATTGTTTTTCTTATTATATTCGACATTTTTTACACAGATGTCTCCATTAAATTTTGCTTATTGGTATATGTTATATTTATTTCTTTGTGTGTGTCAGATCTAGACTTTCATAAATCTCTAAATTATCACATAAACACCAGCTCTATTCTCCATGCAATATCTCAGTGTTCATTCTTAAAAGAAGAATACAATGTGACGGGATTATACAAAGAAGCTTTCTGATACGATTTCAACGGAAAATGTGAGAAAAAATCCCTAAAACTTCAGTTAATCCATATATCGTACAGTGTTCCAATAAGAATAATTCTATAACGGTATACAGCCTAAACTAAAATTCAGTAGAAAAATATCTGTTTTCATCGTCAACTCACTGTCAATGACCTTTTTTTTTCAAATAAGGCGACTAATAACAAAACGTGATCGAAATCATTTTCCAGTTGTTTCTTACTAGCTGCGTGCTACAAGATTTAACTATTTATTTCCGAAGTTGAAAATATTTGTTAGCAAAATTAATGAAATTTCTTCTATGAGAAAATAGTCAGACAGCATTCGTTTAAAAGCGAGAAGATTCTTCGTTGAGCTTTTGTACATTTGAATTGGTCAACTGTTTAAACTTCGATAGAATATTGTCAACCTGCTAGAATGACACTATTCGTCGACGATCGCCGAAGATCATCGTATGCTTGAAGACCTTGCGGTGTAACACTATGGGATATTCGCTGATGATTGAACAAGATGATCAAGGTCAAGAAAGTCTAGTTTCATCTGTGATATGAACGGAATAATATCTTCCATGTGATCGATATGGTTCCAGTCAGATGTGATTGATGAAATTTTCTTATCTGCATCAGCAGCTCGAATAACAACCACCCAATTAATAACATCTTTACTTACATGATAAAGAACTAGCTCTTTATCATTTGGATTTCCCATATAAACCATTGTTCGCCCGTCTAAATATAGTTTGAGACCCCTCCACAGTGGACGACCTTCTTCGGGATATAAAATCTTTCGTGCTGTCGAATTAATGCCATTTATAGCCTGCATCAACATCTCTTGTCTCTGCGTAAACAAGCTGTGCATGATGTGAATAATAAAGAGATTTTCTTATGTCAATTTCAATCTCGTACAGTAATTTAACACAAATTGGTTGAAGGACAATACCGAATCCGATCCCGTATCGCTCATTGTTATAGGATAATTCTGAAAAATATATCAAGAAAATACCTATCATCAAAAAGCCAATGATCGAAAGTTTTATTTTAATTCATATTTATCGTCCGTGATTATCATATATATATCAGATATGTTGCTCGCGATTGTCGAAGAACGTAAGAGAAGTGAGAAGGGCAGAAAAACTAACGGTAATTTACATTTACCTAATTGACGGAATATGTAAACAAGAAAGAAAACGTAACTTATTGGCTTACATAACTGCACTAGTTAAAATAATACAACGAGAGGGAGCGCATAGTATTGACAATTAATCGAGCCTGAAATCATTCACGAAGTTCACCATTCATTTTTGAAGAAATCTTCAGATTTGTTGTCCGATTCAATGCATAAATATTTGATATAACGCTGGCAAGCTCTAGAATACTTGTCATACTCAGTTAGCTTTCTCATCATATGTATTTATAAGGATCTTAAAAGGTATAATTACACGCATGAGAAGACAATGATAGAAATCAAATACTACTGGAAAGTCGTGGGAAAACAGTGATCCATTTTGAACATTCTTGTCAAAGACAATCTCATGTACATAAGCATAGGATGGGGAACTTGATTCATCAGGACAGAGCGATTTGACACACTTTCTTTCACTGAAATAATACGATCGGTGGTCGATAATGATTGATCATTTTTGAAATGAACAATAAATATTGTATTGAAACGTGTATTAAAATGGTAAAAAGCACGACACAGGTGACCACCATTGTAGTATTCGAAAAAATCGAGTAAAATGTCATTCTTTCTTTTTGTTTTTAATCTTGAATCAAACTAAAATGCATCCGCATAAAGTTGTTCTGTGTATGTTCGGTTGTTTTGTGTCATCAATACTAAAATTCTATCGGTGAATTTACTCATTTTTATTGGATTGAAGAAATTAAACCTTCATAGACATAATATTGTACCTGTTGATAATTTGATACATCATGAGATGTATTGAGCATACAAAACATCATGGCGAAAAATTACGAACATTCTGTAATTCTTGCACAACATCGAAGAAATTTTTATCTGTTTGTTTTGTTATGAATGATGTCGAATTTTCAATAAAAAAACGCTCGTCAACGTATCAAATGAAAATATTTTATGCATGAATAATTATTCAAATTATTAAGGTAGACATGTAATACTCATCCCCATATATGTAATTGAGAATATTTCATTTTGAATATCATTTTTTTCTCAATCTATTCGATACTTCATGACGGCTGCTGCAAGTCAACCAACAGAGAAACTTCCTGTCGTTTTCTCATATAGTGATTGCGGAGGATTGGTTGATCATGTTTATAACTATTTAAAACCTAAATTAGAGTTTCCTGTTTGGATGGATAAACATGATGCTCACAGTGGTAGTTTCAGTTCCAGGTAAATTATTCTTCTTATCCTCTCCGAATCAAAATTGACGTTGTTTTTCTGTGATCTTAGTCTAGCTAGTGCCATTGAAAAGTGTGGTGCTCTCGTGTGTTTCCTAACTCCTGAATATCAAGAGACATCAGCTTGTGAACGAGAATTGACATACGCTGCAAATCAACGTAAAATAATTATTCCAGTTATTGTTGGCAAATCCAATGCTTTTGATGCTTCTAATGATGAAGAAGAGGACGACGAGGACGACGACGAAGAGGATTGGTTTCCAAATGATTGGTTAGGTTTGATTGTAGCGGATCTATCTGTAATTTATTTTGATGGTGTTACAAAAGAAAACATTGGTGAAAAGTGTGATGAACTTAAGACCAGAATTGAAAATACTCTCAAAAATACGATAGCACCAGCAACTAAATAGTTTTCTTTTTTCCATATACTTTTACATCTTTTGAAAATTGAAATCAATAAAATTTTCTATGAAGTAATGAAAAAAAACCCGACAAGTTAAAAGTTAACTCCGCTCGATTGTCAATCTATCTTCTGACATACATATCAATATTTTGACATTCGATGAGAAATTCAGATTGTTGTTAATCTACAAGTCGAAATTTTGATGATGATAACTCTCGTTGACATTTATTTGTAGGATTAAATTTTAAAATTTAACATATCCCTTTACCTTATTCTTAATCAAAAGTATTATTTGATGATATGCTCCATTGCATCTAATACATTAAGAAATAAAACACGTTATTGCGTATAGATGCGAAATATTTATTCATATTTAGGGAGGATCGATAATATTATTTCAACGATCATTTAGGAAAAAAAATTCTGGTGTCATTTGAGTTACTTTCATTGAGATAATCCTAATGGCATACAATCAACAAAATTCATATTCAGAAGGCGACGATGATGGAGCAGATAATGAACGTGGAGATCAATTGGAGCATATCATGTTGTCATATCAATGGGATAATCAAAAATTAGTTGAGAAAGTTTATAATTATCTTACGCAGCACAGTATTCCTGTTTGGATGGATAAAAATGGCGGAATGCAAGACAATGTGTTTTTAAGGTGAAATTTGAGTATTTTTTTTTCTTATGAGTTTTATTTTGGCATGTTTCAGTATGTCCCAAGGTGTTCAACGTTGCTTTGCGTTGGTTTGTTTTTTAACTCCAGCTTATCAAAATTCGGCAAATTGTAAAAAAGAATTAACCTACGCATTGGATACAGATACACCAGTGATTCCTTGTATTATCGGATCAAAAGAAGAAGGAATCAAATGGAAACCATCAGATTGGTTAGGGATGTCGATTTCCAATTTATTATACATTGATTTCAGCCAAGTTGATGATAAAAATTTTGAAAGTAAATGTCAAGAACTTATCCAAAGGCTTGTTCCATATCTTTCATCTTAAAATGGATTCGTTTTGGAACCTTTTGCTTCTTGGTTTATTTTTTTTATACACTAATACGAACGAACGTTTATTCCTGAAAAAATTAAATCTCACATATTGGTATTCTGTGAAATGATTCAATTTTGCTAAATATTTTTGTACGATATTTATCGTGAAAATGACGTTTTAACGCACTATAGCTCGATTTTTCCCCCAAAAAAATAATCTACTTTAATACGTAGAAATATTCAAGTTGCTTTTCGTTATTCACCGATTTGGATCATAACAAAAACAATTTTCTTTCTATCACTCTCTACCTGTATAGAAAAAACAAACGTATCATTGATTTATTTTTGTTTTTTTGTTTTTGATTTACTTCAAGGTAATTAACATATCTGTTGCATTATGTGCACAAGACTTTTCGTGAGAAGATTGGTCCTAAGGAAACTTTTGATTTATTTGAGACAAGCGATTTGCATTCGTTTTCCAGTAATATCGCTGCTTGATCTCGGTTCCAACATTCTTCAGATAGAATTAACTGCAAAATATATTTAGAATTCCACTAGTCATTTGCAAATCACACAAGCAGTATTCATGTATCATTTCGAATAACCATTAAGTCAAAAACAGTCGAGAAGATTCATTTTGCAAGGATCAAAACGCTTCCTGATTTTTTAAACCTACACTAGTGTCTTCACTCTCAAATCAGAAGAACAAAAACAAACGAAATGTGTTGGCTCCATCAAGTCAGTATTGGTTTAGACACACAGATGGTTGCGGTGACACTTCTTTCTTCTTTGTGAATACCCAAATAGTGAACGATTTCGTCTGAAACTTATTATGTCGAATAGATCCTGCCTTTTTGACATTCTCTTCAAAGTCAGCGGGAAATCGTCGATGGACATCAGCAATGATAAGACGGCCATTGGTTCTAAGCCGTTGACTGGTCCATTCGACGTGCCGCGAAATATCATTTTCGAACAAAGACAAGCTGTATATCACTGCATCGTATGGACCATTATTGATCACTACTTCATCGTTCGAAGTCATCTCGCCTACAATAGCCTGGAACATAATCGTTGAATTACGAAAGTCAATTTGTTTACAGATATCAGAATGTAGATCGATACCAATGACGCGAATAGCGTGGGAAATTTCTTCTAATCTCTCCAGCGACGTATGAAAGGTGCTATTTAAGCCACATCCACAATCAATTATTTTACAAGGTGTTTTCTGTGTGGAAGCTAGGGGTGTCACTTTTGCGTTCCGTTCCAAAGAACGGGAACGGAGTCTGCGTTCCCGTTCTAGGAACGGGGAACGCTGCAAAATATACCTCTTCCGGTTGTTTATTAGCCACCAGAAGAATGAAATGCGACTTCTACTTGTAAAAACACCCAAAGATTCAGTGGCGTTCCCCGTTCAGNGGGGGGTAGCATTATCTTTTCGACTTCAGTATCTTATGGATTTTATACAGAATGATAGCCCGTGAAAAACTGGATTCAGGACTGCGATAATCATTTTGATCCATGAAAGTTATCGTCGCAAATTTCAAAGATAATATGAAATCTGTAGAAATACTCAATCGTCAACAATTGTGCATGTTTTCTTTCTTTTTTATCTCCTTGACTGGTTTTTTCTCCTTCTGTGTGTAAACGTATTTTTTCGTTCTGTAGTATGTGTCACGTGTGTTGAGATTTATTCCTTATCTCTATTTGAATGTGGAGATGTAAGAGAAAAAATTATGCAAAATCCTAAATCCTGATAATTGAGTATTTCCACAGATTTATACTATCTTTGAAATTTGCGACGATAACTTTCATGGATCAAAATGATTATCGCAGTCCTGAATCCAGTTTTTCACGGGCTATCATTCTGTATAAAATCCATAAGATACTGAAGTCGAAAAGATAATGCTACCCCCCGTAGCAAAAGGTTTTGCACAACCCTGTATTTGAGACAAGCGATTCGCATTAGTTTTTCGGTACTATCGCTACTTGATCTCGGTTCCAATTTTTTTCAGATAGAATTAACTGCAAAATAGATTTAGAATTCCACTAGTCATTTTCAAATTACACAAACAGTACTCATGTGTATCATTTCGAATAACCATTAAGTCAAAACCAGTCGAGAATATTCATTTTGCAAGGAACAAAACGCTTCCTGGTTTTTTAAACCTACTGTAGTGTCTTCACTCTCAAATCAGAAGAATAAAAACAAACGGAATGTGTTGGTTCCATCAGTCAGTATTGGTTTAGACACACAGATGGTTGCAGTGACACTTCTGTCTTCTTTGTGAATACCCAAATAGTGAATGATTTCGTCTGAAACTTACTATGGCGACGAAATCCTGCCTTTTTGACATTCTCTTCAAAGTCAGCGGGAAATCGTCGTTGGACATCAGCGATGATAAGACGGCCATTAGTTCTAAGCCGTTGACTGGTCCATTCGACGTGCCGCGAAATATCATTTTCGAATAAAGACAAGCTGTATATCACTGCATCATATGGATCATTATTGATCACTACTTCATCGTTCGAAGCCATGTCGCCTACAATAGCCTGGAACATAACTGTTGAATTACCAAAGTCAACTTGTTTACAAATATCAGAATGTAGATCGATACCAATGACGCGAATAGCGTGGGAGATGTCTTCTAATCTCTCCAGCAACGTATGAAAGATGCCATTTAAGCCACATCCACAATCAATTATTTTACACGGTGTTTTCTGTGAGGAGCCATTGATAACTCCTTCGAGGCTCGTGAAAATATTCTCTGACAGATCCGTTTTCTCTGGTAAGTCTTTGAGCATCTCATGATAACGTTGAAAATTATTGTCAGAGTTGAAGACGTTTTTCAGCTGTTCGATATTAACATTGATGTCATAATCTTTGTTCAGGATATCACAGTATTTTTTTGTCCATGTCTGCAAGTCGCTGGGATTGTATGACGTAGTTGTAGCAGGAGGTGAGACTGGTGAAATTGATTTAGACTGTTTGGTATGCTCCGAGTAAAGTATGTCGAGTAGTGCCATGATAGCTCCGGTTTTTCCGATCTGTGGTTCAGCTTCGAGAATTATCATAAATAATTTTAGTTCACTGAAAACGCCCGCACCGTTTTCGGGGTGATCAATTGTCAAGTTATTCTTCTTAGTCATCAGACCATGCACCCTGGGAAAGATAATGTCTTTCATTTGAGGATTGTCTACATTATTCGTACTACTAAAAGCCATCAACACCAATGCTTTTGGTTTACTATGTCCGGCACATCGACCAACGTCTTGAACAAATGTCGATTCTTGCCCATCCATGTTGTTTGGATCTCCCTTGTAGCGCGCTCGAATATCATAAGCCATGCAGTTCGATGATAGGCGCTCGCCGATGCCTAGTTTATCGACAACCAAAATTAAACATGGCAAGCTGTGAAGATGTTTTATAACGCATTTATTTCTAACTTTCTGAAGGGAAGGATGTCTTCGAGCTTTGTCACTGAGTTCATCCCAAATACAATCGTTATTGAGTTGAATCAATTCGAATGGTCTGAAGTCAGCTTCTCCGGGTATTTGCCTTATTTCATTAAAAAGTTTCATGATACCTTCGTATAAACTAGTCACATCTTTGATTTGCTGTAGACGGATCAATGCTGTGTGATTGCCAGCAGGTGCATAATCAGCTGCTGTAAATAATCCATGTATTTTTTCTTTATTAGTATCATCAGTCAGTAAATACTTCAGCAGTTGCCATGATCCATTCGTTTTCCATTCATCATTTTGTGTGTTTCCATCATAAACAGTCGCTTTCCAATAATGTAGCGTGCTTAAATATTCTTCTACAACGAAGCTTGATCGGTCGACAAGATTCTTTTTGCTGATCAGATTCGAATGTACATCATTATAAACAACTAATTTCATGATACCAGTATAATTGGGTGCAGCGAATCGTTGTCTTATAGTCGCTGTTTGACTAAGACGAAGATCTCTCCAATTGACACGATGTCGTTCGTTTTCTTGAAATTCATTCATAGCTCGCGTAAGCACTTTGATAGTAGCAGATACTAGCAAGATAATAAGCGACGGCTTCTTTCCATTGTTCACAAGTTCTGTCACTTGTTGACTTAAACGTTGGAAGAATCTATTGCTATTACTTTCTTTTGCAATACCCCAGTGTGCTTCATCGAACACTAAAATATGTAGTACCTCCATAGGTTGTTTATCCAGAGTTTGCAAGAAATGAATGCTATCGAACTCAGCTTCTTTTAATGATGTACTATTGTAGACGCAGTTGTCGAAAATAAAGTCAATTTCTGTGACAGAAAGATTAGTGCTATTATGTAGAAAAATCTTCAAGTCTAACGCCGTTTGTTTTTTCAAGTCTGTATAACTTGGGCCGAGAAATGGGTGTGGGTGTGGGTGGAAGTGAAAAATTTTTATGATTGGATTCGATAGAGTTCGTCGAGTTTGATCTGGGCTCAGCGTGAATAGAGTCACAGTTGGCTCAGAGGAAAATCTGTCCGATTTTTTTCTAAGATTCTGGTGTTGTTTTCGTTTGTTAGCATTTTTTGGGTTTTTAGAGAGCGAGAAGGGGTATTTTCGGAAATATTTTTTTTTGAAATTGATAGAACTCACCGAGTTCTACTTGGGCCCAGTATGATCAGAGTTGAAACGCACTCTCGTGCGAATTGGTTCCAGAAAAGTCGAATCCCGAGCCAAGATATTCTACATCTTTAATCGTTGTGTTTATTAGCATTCAATGAGTATGTGGCAAAATTCAAAGCGGTATCAACTTTTATTGTCTTTCTGATCTTTGATTCTGGTTTGTAACAATCGCAGAAAACACGTAATCAGATATCCCGTCATCTTGCGGATGAATAAGGAGTGTGAGTTTGTACTTAAAGCAATTATTCATGTCCAGCCTCACCATCAAGTAAGGTTTTTAGCATTTTCGTGTTGATATTGTTTTCTGATCGCTAAAAGCAATTGAGTTCAGCAAAGAAAGTTGCTCGGTGCTGATGGTCTCTAACCTGCACCTTTCCCTGTTCCATACTCATTTTAACAGTAACAAGTTTTTAAAGAATGCAAAGTCGGACCACTCGGTCCGTTATATTTACCCTCAACAATCGTATCAAACCGGTGAAACATTCGACCAATGTAAAAATTGAGTTCTCCTTCTTTGCCTGCTAATAATACACATGCTGGTAATCTCGAATCACAGAATGACACTCATCTGAATTTCAACTTTGAATTTGTATTCGTCAGCATTTGACACTCGGACAATCGTTGAGCACCCCAATGTTGAAATTCAGTCAATTTCTCACCCTCAACAAGCTGAACTGGAATTGTGTTGTTGCGCCATTCGACACGTGCTATATATATATTTCGCTTACTGCTCCGACCCCCCATAACAGGAAACGATGGGATTTCACCATCTCGTGCATTCACCCAGACAACATTCCCCATTTTATGCAGTGGCTTTAAAAGAAAGAACGAATAAGCATATTTGTACTCCATAACAAAGAATCACTTTACTGAGTGTTTCTAGACAATGATCACGTCCTGTCGACAAGCATGCTATTTGTGAAGGAGAAGAAGTAATATTCTTGTTTTGATTTGTTTCTCAGTTCTACGATATTCTTGATACAAATGCTTAGAGATATTACCAGCACAATGTTCAATAGTCCGGCAAACAATAACAAAAATTTGATCGTCCTTCTCGAGAATTTTATGGGATGTTTGTCAACAAACACAGTTACTGGATTCTTATTACTTTGAAGACTGTTATCTGTCGTCTTGGCTGTTTCACTCGAGTTCATTAAAAATATCAAACATTTCTTCATGAACAGCAAAAATCTCATTTGGTTACAGGTTTCTACGATACATTTGTCTTCTTGATCTTGCAGAAGAAGCTATGTTAGATTTTGTATTGATTAAGTATGTCCATTTTTCTGTACTTGTTTCATATGTTCTACGTAGATTCAAATAGAAATGTAATAAATTAAAAGAAAAAAATGGATGTAGGCAAACTACCTCTTAGTATTCTCATCGCATCGATGCATTGAACTTTTTCGAATGCATTTGTCAGCAAACTAACATCTTGTTCATTGATTTTATCTTGATCAAGAAAAGATTCTATTAGATTAATAGTACCAACCAGTGTTGGATCATGGCGAATTCGTCGTGGAACATCACGACCCAAGAAGAAATGTAAGCGTTTTCGATCATTATCACTCAGATGATCTTGAATTTTCAATATGGCAGCACGTAGATCATGAGGATCCATCGACTTTGATTTAAGGGAGAAGAAAAGGTTTATTAAATATCGACGTGTACGAATGATTCCTATCAAATCGTTCTTTTGAAATAGGAAGAAAAGAGAATTGATAACGTGATAGATCAATATATGGGTTTTGTAACTTAATGCTTCACAATAGAATAAATGGCATGTTACAATCGGTTAGATGAATCAAGCGTTCTACAAAACGTTCTGATTCGAGTTGCGAGAGAACTTTCTGTGATCTTGTCCTGAGATTTCAATGAAATTTCATGAGAAAGGTACTATATACAGTACATTCATACGAATCCTTAACGGACTTGGGTTGAGAGTTATCCCAGCTTGTGACATTATGGTTTAAAACCCAAATGTTACGTCGTTTTCAGGGAAATTACAATCGGTTACATCATACATTTAATAAAACGTTATTTCTGAAATTTTATTTTTAGTTACGTTGCATCGTTCAGGTAAATATAAGATACGTGAATCAGTTAAATAAAAACACGTTAGATAGATTCTACTTTAAGTGTTATACTATACATGAATTCTTCACAATATTTTTTTCTAGATGTTGATGAGAGTGCGTGAAAAAATGAAAAAAGTGTTTTATCTTAACTCTGAGAGTTTTTTTTCGTTTGTTTTGAGCTGACTCTAAACATAATCAAGTCTTCTGTTGTTATTGTAAAAACAAGGTTAAAGCTTTGCTTCTTCTCTGTAGATAACATATTTTCATACGCAATACGATCTGTACATGATGAATCGTTCTGGTGATATTGACATTGAATTGAAACGACTGACGCCTCTCGAAGATTTGCAGAGTGAACCTTTTGTTACAATAAAGCAATCTCTTCAACTGATCGAGCCCATCATTGCCAACTTATCATCATATATTAAGACAGCTGAAACTCGTTGTCGTTTCCCATCAGATCATGGATTATCACAAGATGAGTCCACTGCCATATATCTTTATACAATGAACTGGCAAGACGATAGTTTATATGCTGTGCTAAACGAAGCATTGCGATCTCAAAAAGTGAAACATTGAAGATATGGTTCCCATATTTGATTCAGCACTGAGCAAATTGCCTACAGTGAAAGAAGTACTCTGGCGAGGCGTACCACTTGATATTGGTAGCAATTTTACCAAAGATCAGATTGTAACATGGTGAAGTGTCCGTTCATGTTCATCGTCAGTGAACGCCATCACAAGTTTCCTTACAGGTCATGAAAAAGCAATTGTTTTCTTAATTGAAGTTCATAATGGAAAGAAAATATCCGGCTATACACAATATGAGGGCGAAAAGGAAGTTATTCTACGAATGGGAACAAAATTTCGTGTGAAAAGCAATTGAAAAATTCATACATTGTACATTTGATCGAAATCGGTAACAACAATGAGACTTTATCATTATTAACTGCCACTAAAATGAGGATGATCATGGGGTCATTCTCACTTAATAGTCATACGAATACAACATGGATACAAAACGGTTTTACTATAGCTGGTGGAAATGGAAGAGGCGGTAAACTAAATCAACTTCGATGGCCTACTACTGTTTATATCGATGATGATCAAACACTCTACATCGCTGATGTTAGTAATCATCGTATTTTAGAAGTGAAATATGATGGTGCTCATATTCAAGTGGTTGCGGGTGGAAATGGAGCAGGAAATCAGTTAAATCAACTCAGAGTTTCTGTAAACTTCTTTGTCGATAAAGAACAATCTGTGTATGTGGCAGACAGAGAGAATCATCGAGTGGTAAAATGGGTGAAAGATGCGAAACAAGGAATTGTTGTCGCTGGTGGCCATGGCAGTGGAAGCGCTCTAACACAAATATCAAAACCGTATGGAATCATAGTCGATCAATATGAAACTGTGCATGTTACTGATTCTGACAATCACCGAGTAGTGAGTTGGCCTAGAGGTGCCAAAGAAGGAAGTATTGTTGTTGGTGAAAACGGAGGGGGATCGTATGCAAATCAACTTAGCTATTCATTTGGTTTATCCATTGATCGGCAAGAAAATCTTTACGTCGTGGATCTTTTCAATAATCGAGTACAAAGATATGCTGTCAAACGTAGCTAAAAGAGATGAAGACGCGAGTAATGATGATTAAAAATGCCCATATCTTCATCTTCAAGACGATTGGATCATATTTTATTCAATAAGTTCGTTTTTACACTTCTATTACATGTCATCTTTACAATACATTTTTTTTACAAAAAATCTAATAAAAGGTTATTTTGTTGAAGAACTGTCAAATCAAATATTTCAATCTTAATTTCTCTCTATCTATACAGCTAGGGTAAGGATGAAGGTGATACAAAGATCAAATCGGAAAATTATGAACGAAACTAGGTGAAATATATAGAGAATAGATAGATCTGCGTCACTGTGAATGTTATACTGGGTGAGATTGATTGGATATAGATATTATCAAATGGAAGTGCTTGAAACCAACTGGTAATAGGTAAGGGTAGATAGAACTGACGAATAGAAGTAGGTGAGGTTGGAACTTTGTTCTTGATTTACAGCAGTATACCCTGACACTCACACCTCGACAAGTAAATGCCATTTCGAATAAACAACAAAGCAAAGCTGTATGTTATTCATAAGTTAATTCTCGATTACAATGAAAAAGACTTCTTGAAAAGAAATTAATTTAAAAAAGTGAGCATGTATTTGAAGTTATTGCGGAATTATTCACAATTTTCACATTGGTATGACCTGCATTGGCAAATTGAATACCTTTAACTTGTTGCCGTTCATATTCTATCGTGCTTTGACGAATATCGTTGAGTCATCTTCAACTGTGGGATTTACAACAGACTGAGATTCCATTTCATCATTTAGTTGATCACTTGAATGAGTAGGACAGACTACATGGGTGGCTTGTTCATTAGCTTCTCTATCGTCGTCAGAATCATTAATAAATTCCGTTACATCAATGTCACATGATTCATCACACAGCTGGGGGATTATCTCAAAAGCTAATTTCTTATTAGAACTCATCTTTAACGATGAACACCGAGCAGGAAACCGCCTCACTAACTGAAACGAAGATATGGGTGCTGCCATCTTTATCTTCCAGTGAATATTGCTATTTTGACGAAAATTAGTATTACCATCATCGTCGGACAAATCACTGTCTTCTTCACTACTTTGTCCATCGCATCGTTTTTGTAAACGTTGAACAAGATCTGTACTTTCTGAATTGGTACTCTGATTGGAATTTCTAGCAGAAACAAAAAAAATGATAAAATTGCCAGTTTTGATCAGCATTAATTGATAGAATTACCTGCTCGGTAGTGCTTGAAGTTTTTCAATTAATTTTCGATCTTTCGGATCGGCAATCATTAGTGTAAGTAAACGTCGATCATTCATTGATAAAACAATAAAATCTCGATCTGCTACCAGAAAAGAAGCGAAATCATAGAGAGTTAATTTTGCTAATTGCTGATTATCAATAGTACGATACATATGCAAAATACAAGGTTGTATTAAAGCGAAAATATAATTGCTGGACTCATTCATACATAATTGTAAACATTCATTTGACATTTGAATTAATGGATGATATTTCGATAGATTTATATCATACCAACTAAGTTGATGTTCATTATTACTAAATTGAGCAAGATAGTGTTTTTTTAAACAAAATTTGTCAACTTTATCGAATGATGTCATGTTAAGATAAGCTTTTTTGTTTGATTCTTCTAATTTAATTTGACAGAGAATAAGATTCCGGTTATTGAAATGAAATGATACGGAATCTTGAGATGATTCACCAATCAGAGATAACAAATGAGATGAAAATGGTAAAACAATGTGAGGAAAATTCAGATTAACATAGATAATTTGTTCATTTGACCAAATAGCCATTGATTTACCAATATCATCAAATATAACAAGATATTCACGCGAATTGATTCTTAGAATCGAACTGAGCATCATTGAACATTGAATATCCAATTGACTTCTTGTCTTTTCAACAAATTTCGACTCTTCAACAATGTGATGTATTGAACCCGTTTGTGTTAATATTAGAAAACTTCCATTCGTTGTTGAATGAACTCTTGAAGACGAATTCAATTCAAGATGAAATAAACAATTTTTATCAAGTGATTTAGTTAAATAAATCTCCGCACAATGATTACTTGTCAAAATAAGTATAAATACGACTTTTGGATCCGTATTGCTACAAATCATCGCGAAATTATCAACAATTATATTATTTTCATAGGTACGAGTTGATTCAATCGATGTCGAGTGTTGATAGGACCATGATGTCAGTTCACTAAATGAAGAAAATATGAGGTTTAAAAATTCTTTAGGATTCCGTTGGCAAATTGTCAATCGCTACTTCTAATACGATCCGTACCTTTCGGCATGACTAATGCTTACCGTTGTGACCTATCAAGTGTAATAGCTTCGCCGTTAAGTAATTTAATAGTTTGTATTGATCGATTTGTACGTGGAAAAGGAGGTGTAGTTTTCAAACTTTGTCTCGCATCTTTTGCATTGTACAGATGAATAGCTCCATTTTGTAGCAAGCAAAAGAACATCAATGCTTTAAAAAATTTTATCGAAAATCAACCGACTAATTCGAAAACATATACACTCACCATAAGCAGGTGCAGAAAAAATTGACCTAATCGACGAAGAACTAACATCAATTGTAACATATAATTGCCATTGATGTAGAATATGATTATCATCTTTTGAATTTAAGCATGTCCACATATACAATCGAATAACACCTCCATGTGCCGTATATACCAATTCAAGATTATTTATATGCATAGATGCCAAATCAAATTGACCTTCAATTCTTGCATATGAGATCTTTTTCATACCACATAGATGAATAACATATAAAGATTCACTTGTTAAAGCTATGAATAATGGAAATTTAATATAACGACTTCCTTCAACCGTACCGATTCTATATGGTAAAATAATCTGCTTGATTGTTTTCGGTTCTAATGGTTGATCAAATTTCACTAAGATTTTTAATATTTGATTATTATTTAAAACTTCTTCAGTTTTTTTAAATTGTTCTAAATTAATAAAAACGAAATCAATTGAAACTGTTGAATCAAATGTACATATTAACATATGATTATCCAAAGTGATTGAATGAAGTTGTTCACCAAGTTCAATAGAACCTCGACAGACAAATTTTGATTGTGTCGAATCAATCATCGAATAAAAGACAATATTTCCATTATGAAATACAATAATTATCATGGAATATCTATTCGAATAAAGTACATATCGAATTGTTGAAAATGAAAATTCTATTCGTTGAAATAATTCATTTCGAAATATATCTCAACATTCAAGTGAATTCCTGTTAATTTCTGCAAAGATACAAAGAATTGGATTCGTATGGGAAATTTCCACAGATAAATATCCAAATGGAGATGATTTATTGAATATAATATCTTCATTTGAATTGGTTAAATAAATTTTATTCAGTGAATAAACGAGAAATAACATATTTTTGACATTTTCACCGATGAAATTCGGATTTTTAAACATTGTACAATTTAAATACGATTGATTTAATCTCGGTAGATTTATATCAGCAGTAGTTTTACTCTCCTTCATATCAAAAACAACAATCTTATCCGATAAACTATAAAACATTAAGAAATCTTGAGTAAATTTCATACAAATAAGCGATGAAGTATGTTGAATGAATTGTCGTCCTAACCCACTACAGGGTGGTTCATTTTGACAATAGGGAGGTATTAATGAACAATGAGAAATACTTTATATATCCAGTTGTTTTATGAACGAAGTTACATACGGTTTTATTCCAAATAAACGAAGAAGTCGCGAGGACATTTCAAAACCATAATTATCCGGATATTTCTCAAGTAAACTTCCAGTTATCAAATAGACCATCGAATGTATGGAAATCTCCTCTTGGATTGCTCTGATTTCTTTTCGAAGTCCATACGTTGATACGTTTAGAATGCCGTCAAAATCTTCATTGACGTCATCAAAGGATGAACAGATCATTTTTGCACCTAAACATAGATGACAATGACATTATTTAAGTCTTTCTTTTGAGAAAAATAGAATTAATTACGCATAAATGAATAGTCGAAGAAAATTCGTTCTGCTGCTATTGGAATTGATACATCAGGACTGATTTTACTTAAGAAATGGGGTAATCCCTTTAGTTTTCGTTTGTTAAATTGAGTTTGACCATTTCTGTCGACGAATTCAATTGGCTGAGAACTTATTAAACGATTTGCTTGAACTTCTCCATTGACATCAGTGAGATTATACTTTTTAATCAAATTTTCGTTATTGATTTTTAGTGGCTTCACTTTACCACTCCATGTTTCGTTATACAAATCAATCATATTGAGAAAAATATCGGTTTTCTGTTTCGCAGTCAACGTTGATACGTACTCTTTCTCTGCTACTTCGATAAATCTACGATGATACCTATATATATATATATAGATTTCAATCAATCATATGAACTAGCTGCTATATCCATCAGTCAAACATGAATAATATGATGTAGTCAATCATAAACCTTGACTGAGTGGCGAAAACCTGCAAGATATCTATACTTTCGCGTTAAAAACCGTAGGAAAAGATGATCGTATCCGGCTATCGGTTGTGGCAAACTCTTCTTGATTTTCAGTGAAATTTGGTAAACTCGATGGCGCGATTTCCTCTCCGGAAATCGACCGTTTCCGTGCCCAATTCTTACACATAGAATCATTTTCTGGTAGAACTTCATTTTTTCAAAGAATTTACAAAGAAAAACCTAACTAGAACTCTTGTGCATACAAAGAAACGATCATCGCTTACCAATAAATGACCGATACATCATCCATTTCTTTTTCAGTTATATATTCATCTAAATCATTTCGAATTCTCGTCCACAATATGCCAGGTAAACGTTTAACAGGTGGTATATAATGCTGAAAAACATTTCTCAGCACTTCGTCATCTAATGAAAGAACATCTTCCAGTTCGTTCTGACTAATTCCATTTTTCAACGCTGTCAAATAACATAATGAACGAGAAACTAATAAATCTCCATGAATCCGTTTTAAACGATTGAAAAGGTAAAGAATACAATCATCGATGGTTTGCAAATGTTTCAAATTCTCATCAATTATGTCGTACGAATGCCAAGTTAGAGCAATATCAAAGATAAGTTTCATAAACAGAGGAAGAATTTCTGTTCGACTATGTAGTAAATTCAAAATAAACGAATGATGTTCATTACTTAACGAATGTTGTTTCATTTGAAGCCAATCATTATAAAGAAATTCAACAGTTGCTGCATCAAAAGGCGAAGCAAACAAAAATAAATTTGAATTCTGTTTCATAATCATTTTTAAATTTGATAGAACATTTCCATGATCAGATAATATTGATATAATACATTTGACATTCTTTGGATAATTTATTGGAATCCATTTACAATTATGTGCATCTGATGATAATTGATCGATTGAATCAAATAAGATAACAAGATATTCATTGGGAGGGATTTTTTCTAATATATCCTTTTCTAATTGATATCGTAATTGTGAGACATTCGAATAGTTTTCCATTGATATGTTATATAATCGACAAATCTGTTCGGATACTGATAGAAGAGTTTTTAACGTTGTTGATGACGATGGGGTCGTTCTACAGTTCAAATATAATCTCTAAGTAATCCGTATTTATTCAGATTATTTTTAACATACCCTAGAAATCGTAAAATAATCGAAACAGATCGATTTGGCCACCAATTTGATATCTAAAATACATCTATTCATTGACATTATTTCTCATCTATTCGACATACTTCCATAGCAGCTTTGGCTAACAAACTTGTTTTTCCACAACCTGAATCTCCATAGACAACACACGGACGATTTTCATTCTCGTCATTAATATATTCTTTTAACTAGAAAATCAAATTTCTTATAAAAAAATGATGATATATTCACCTTACCTTATTTAAAATATCTGTTCGTCCATGAAATTTCGCGACATATGTTTTACATTGTATGGCATGTTCCAGTACTTCATGATATAACGGATCAGAGATAGGCATAATACGCGATTGAACACATTGATCAATTTGTTGTTTAATTGCATTGTAAAAATCGTTATTAAATTGTAATATATGTTCACTATGATCATTTCGATTAATACCTTTCGATGACCAGTGAATTTTATATTTGTAAATATTTTCGGATTGTAATACACTCGGAATACGTGTATATTTTAAACGATTGAGTAACTTTTCAACTTCATCGTCAACTATTGGTGTACCATCATTTGAATATTGTAATTCAATATATTTCGACGCTTTGCTATCCGATAAATGTTCATGAATATCGTCGATTTCACGCATGAAACATAATGTTCGTTCATTGGCATTTGGTACCGATAAAATACCATTGATAATTTCTTTTTCTGTTACTATAAAACACCAAGGAGAATTACGGGTAGATGATCGATGATTAGACTTTTATAAACATTCTTCGTCAAAGTATGAGGAACTATTAGGAATGATGTTCTAAAACTAGTGAGGAAAAAAATCTACTTCACATCTCTATCGAGTGATGCTCGGACCTAATGTCACTACTGGAAAAATCTAACTATCACATGTGAGTCAGCAGAGTAAAATGAAACACAACAAAAAAGATGTTTTTTAGTCTTCTCTCGCGATTTCACTCGTACCTGATACAAAAAAGTCATCATATTCATTTTCTTGAATTTGTTGTTGTTCTAAACATTTTGTAGCTGCTTGTCGTAATTTTGTTCGAATGCGATTATTGATCTTTTTCAAATCCTTTTCTGCTTGTTTTACTTCATTTCTATCCTAAATACAACAACATTTTCTTTAAGTTCATCATTACAAAATTGATCTTCTATTTACGGTAGATAGAATTTTAGGTAAAATTGACGAGATCGGACGCAGTATATAAGCGGCGGGTATCTGATTTGTATCGAGTTGATACCACTGAGAAAGCAATTGAGCATCTTCGTTTTCATTCATATCGAAATAAATGATTTTATAGAGTTGTTCGAAAAGTGATGCACGAATAGTGGCTGGTGTTGGTCGCGAACCATAACGATGACCTAATAGGACCTATGAAGAACTTTTGATGAATCAATAAATGAATGTAAAAGGAAAGTTTTTACCACAAAATTAGTAGCCACAGAATTTTTTTGACATAGTTTGATTTCTTTGAGACATGTTTCGACTTCACTGTGATTGTCAGCTGATTCGGTTGGAATTCCCCATCGCATGTCAACGTACTATCATCGTTAAATAAATGTTAACCGGAAATAAAAGCTTGAAATACAAACTTGAAATTCTAAACCATATTTTTCACGACAATAAATTTTCAACTTTGGAAAAACATTTTCAATTAGAGAATCGCGTTCAGTTAGCGTGTCTAGTTATTATTCTAATTTGTAAAAAGAGAACTCTATGTAAATTTCTAACCTGAAAATGTTGAACTGAGAAAAACTCGAACTACTTTCCATCGAACTTCTGGCAATTCTTGACACCAGCCACGTAAAGTCTCCATATAAGTCGATGACATCATCTCTCAAAATAAGGTAATTAATTGAACAAAGAAAAATGGCTGTAGATTTCATTTCGAAATGCAAAGTTTATGAGAATTCTGCTGATAAGACTCAACCGTGTTATATGTAGAATAAGCTCACTAAACAACAAACAGTAGGTCAACTCAAAATGTAGACCTCGCGATTTATGTATATCGTTGAAATAGATTGACATCTTGTTTGTGTTAACCATGGTTCAACCCTCACAATGATGAAGCATTTAACATTATATATATATATATTTTTGCGTTCTTTTAAATAAACATGCAGTGTGCCAGAAAGAAGTTTTTATGCAATATATTGTCATAGTCGAAAAATCAGTAAAGCAAATAGTTTTTAAAACAAGTATTCATATCTTTTTATTATGCAAAAACTCTAATCATTAGATGCTGATAGTACATAGTAATGTAAATATAAGTAAATGAAAATCGCAATATAAAAAAATGAATGAAATAGAACAGTTGCAAGTTGGTTTATCAAAGCGTCTCAGAATCAAAACTACAAAAGAATACTATCATCGATGTGAAATTGCGAAATGGAAAGCCAGGTCAATAATTTGTCAAAAAAAGATAGATCTTGAGGGTGTGGATTCATACACTGTCATAATCAAGTTATGTCTATATTCTCAAATAGTTAATCCGTTATTGTCTTATACTTTCATCAATATATCTATGTGAATTCGATAAGGATTTTAATGTGAATATCACCTTTACAAATAAGTACATAATTATTTATTATTTTATGAAAAGCTGTTTCGTTGAAGAACTATCAAATACTTTGGATCATGCAAATGCCTTTATAGCAAAGGTATTACGCTCTTTGATAAATACTTGTGTCACTGGTACAAAATGTAACAATGTCTTATTTATAGATCTATACTGAATCATTTGAGCTTCTTTTCTCGTTTTTATGCTGAAGTTCACTCTATGAAGTTTGAACCAATTTCCTTTTCTTTTTTTCAAATATTTTTGAAATGCGAACAAAACCAACTATAACTGATTCATTGATGGCATTTTCTTCTAGTTCGAATATAAAAATTATAATTTCATTATTTTTTTCGATTGTTATTCATCATATCATTATCACAAAATATACATACAACAGTATTCTCAATTTTCTACGACTCACGATGTCACTATGTTGATCCACAATGTTTACCACTCACAACTATTTTCACATCAAACTTAAAAACTTGTCAAATAGCTTGTTTAACTAATTTGAATTGTCGAACAGCTATTTTTGATCAATCGAATAATTGATGTGAACTATTCAGTGATATTGTTCGACAATATGGTCAAATGATAAGAATAGAGAATATTGTGGGTAAGGGTGATATAAAAGAACCATCTTTGGAACAGATAAAACTGGAAAAGTATGCACGAAATTAGGTGAAATATATGTAGAGAATAGACAGATATGTGTCAGTGTGAATGATATACTGGGTGAGATTGATTGAAGACAGATATTATCAAATAGAACTGCCTAAAACCAATTGGTAATAGGTAAGGGTAGACAGAACTGACGAGTAAAGGTAGGAGGGATTAGAGCTTTGTTCTTGATTCACAGCAATAGCCTCACCCGATTCGTGATGCAACAAAAACTATATCTAGTAGTTCGAACACTCTTTACATTGTATTTACGACTAACAATAATGATAGTAGGGTGTTTCCATGGGAAACCACCAGGTCCATTCGGCGACCAGCTCCGATTTTGACGAAACTTTTTGGGTTTGTAGAGCTTTTCAAGCTGAGCATTTTGATATAAAAATTTTTTCGATTTGACCTTTCTTTCGAGGAGATATAGATCAAATACTAAGAGCACCATTTTTGATTTTTTGAAATNAAGGTAAAATCGAAAAAATCTTTATAGCAAAATGCTCAGCTTGAAAAGCTCTACAAACTCAGAAAGTTTCGTCAAAATCGGAGGAGGTCGCCGAATCGGCTGGTGCTTTCCCATGGAAACACCCAGTAATATTGAGAACGTTAGACAAAACAGAATTAATAAATAGGCAACGAATTCAACTGAGCAGTCATCCGATTTCAGGTAGTTACACATTGCTGAATAGAATGTATTGTCAACTAATCCATAAAACATTCAAACAAATGCGCCAAACTACTACAGCACCTATTTAATACTACAAAGAATCTATGATAGTAAGTATTAGCATTCCTATGTCAGACACGAATCCTCTGGAAGTGGAAGTGTTTCCTATTATCCAAAGGGAAAAATTGGATTGTTACTGTTGTGAATATCCTATATTCCAACGTCTTTCATTCAATTGTTTAACGAATGCTATCGATTTTTTACGCTCTCTCGATACAAAAATAATTGTTAATGCACCCGCATACTACGACCACCACGCCCAAAATAACGTGTGCATAGATATAAATTTGAGTGACGCTTAGATGAACAAGAACAAGAATTAATCGACCAATAAATTCCAAGAAAAGTCCGACAGCCCAAACGATCGTTATTACATACCATGTTCGACGAAAAGACGAACAACTTGTATATAGCCAATCATACACCTGTGCCACTTCTTGTTTATCAGGTGATTTCTTTTTCAAATCATATAATTTATTTATTGGTTCCAGTCGATACTTGAACATGTCATCAGGTAAGCCAATGTCTTTTCGTTTCGTTGGTAATAAATCTTTATAGAGATAGTACGCCATTGGCCGCCAACGACATCCTTGACAGCAACATCGAATTGGAATTAATGTATCAGCAAAAACAATCGAAGCAACACCGGTAGTTAGGGATTAAGGCGATTTCTGGTGGAAGAGATGTGTATCCCAATGGAATCATGTCTTTCTTTAGTTCTTCCTATCATCAATCGTATCGTTCTAATACAGAACACACGTTTATATACCCCTCTCTCGATATGAAGGAAGGAAGGAAGAATAATGCCAAAGTACATAAAAATGCACCGAAATAGGAACAAATAGCATGCGAAAAAGATCGCCACAGTGATTTTTCTAAAAGAAGCACAGTATCATTCTTTGTGACAAGTGCAACAACAGCCGAAATAGCAAAGCCAGCTAAAATAAGAAAACCAAGCACGTCGAATGTTCGTGATATGATGGCTTTAAGAAAAATCCTGACTTTATCATTATATGAATTTATCTTGTAGTTTCTATATACATTTCCTATATCTAATTAATGGATCACATTTATGCCTTTGCGCACATCTTGATGTATAATAGTACATATGCTTTACCTATGCCTAGATAATCTTTTTTTCTTTTCTTTCTATACGCACTAACTATATTTCTTTCGTTCTGTAACATTCGATCGATGATCGAGATACACATGTTTATCAGATGGGATTTTCCTTTTTGGCTGAATGACTGGATATTCCCTATAATGCTATTGAGAATTTTCCCTACAAAACGATCGGATATTTCCATATTCAGCTATCTTTCGAAGATCTATATAAATTGATACAATAAAATTTAATACGATCATATCCGAACGATTTCTAACTAAACAGATTCTCATATATGCATGTAATATAAAACATAACTTCCATACAATGACAGCCCACGAATGTCCTATGCGAACGGATGGAAACGAATGGATGGAAATAGACAGAAAGGACAAACGTTGAAGTGAGAAATGACGGGGAAGTTCATCGAAACGAATAGAACATATCAATACGAAATAATCTTTATTAATATGAATCAAATTTTATTAATTGAGTAAGAGAACATCAGTTAAAATCATATGGATGAAGCGAAATTACTGCACAAATGAGCGAAACTTCATTTTTTTCTCCTTTTAATTTAATATTCTTAGTAACAACATACGATAAATTTTCTAAGAATTCATTTAGATTAATACCACTATGTTCATACGGTAGATCGAATGTATGAATTTTTTGTTTTCAATCGACCAGAACGACTACCTTTCACCTGAATTAACAAATGATTGAACCGATTTTTTTCACCCTGGATGCACTTAATAAAAGCTCATATATTTGAATAATATTTAAATATTCGTAAATTAAGATGATTATGGTAGCCGATAAAAAATAACGAGAAAAGGATCAGTATTAGTGAAAAATATAAATTCTCAGCACTATTGGTTATTCCCATTTTCATTTCATAAACATTCCAATGCTGAGGATTTAATTTTTGAATCCATTGATTATCAAAATAACTAAATAATGGTTTAAGCAAATCATATTTTGCTGTTGATAATTCAATAACAAAATCTGGAAATGTATCAGAAACCTGTAGAATCAATGAGATAGGTGTTAATGCAAGAGCCATACATTTTCGACAAATAACTCTCGAATTTCTTCGCCAGCAGTATAATCACGACATAAACCAAGCGTTTGAACATTTCGATATACCGCCTGAGTGAAATGAAAGTATCGTCGAACATCTTCTGAATTAGGAAACTAAAAGAAGATAAGCACCTATTGTTCATTTTAAATGAAATAAAATAATATGTACTTCAGTTTTAATAATATCTCTTAAGCTTCCTTCAAAATCCGAAATAATAATACTTGGATTAAAAGTCATATTTAATTGAAAAGCTTTGTTATGTAATTCGTGAGATAAAATTTTATATGTTGATTTTTTTCTATCAAATAATAATGCAAAAACACATACAAATGCCTATAAGATACGGTTACAACACGTTTGTTTAAAATATAAATTTAAACTTACATTGTTCAAATTTAATTGCATGTATACAATAGACTTGGTTGAACATTGATGGTGATATGGAGAACGTACCATCCATTAAAACGATTGAACTATTGAACAATGGTTTTCATTGTTCTGTAGAAACAAAAGCCAATATTTGAGCTTTTATTTTTATAATGTGATCAATGCATAGAAATGGAAGATTTCTCAAGGTTTTTGTATAACCTTCAGGAATTTGAAATAGCCGAGTACCAGGAATAGCTAGTGTTTGCAAATGTCGTGCTTTATTTAATATACTACCTAGAAGAATGAATAGTTCAGGTGAAACAAAATAGAATTTCCATTAACTAATTTTTCTTGATGATGATAATGAAGCAATTGCTAATTTCGACGAATTGAGTCGTGCTGCTTCTTCATCATAAATTTGTGGTATAGACAATGATCACCCTTAATCTTTGAAACCACATCATCTAGATCATTATGTAAAATTACAGCACAATAGGAATTCCTGCATCGATAAAATGTATAATCATATAAGTACTTATGGGAAAACGCTTGAGTTCTTCGACAGGGTGAGGATGTTATATGGATATAGCACTCACAACCTCAAGTTGATGAGATCTAGTAGTGAAATTAGTTTAATATTTTTTTTGTGCAGCATAAAGTCAACATGTAAAAAATTAATCTTGTTGTTGTACATATTTTTCTTCTCTATATTTCTACAATGGAAATACGTTTCATTGATAGATACAAGAAACAGTACAGTTATAAATCAATTATTAGTTATTGATAGTCTCAAATACACAAAAAGAAGAAAGAAAGAAAGAAAGAAAGAAAGAAAGAAAAGAAAAAAACCGATAAATGATCTAGATAATTATAGCAATATGTAGTACAGATGTTTAGCTTATCTGAGAGAAAAACTAAGAGAAAGATATAACAACAAGAAGGAGAACAAAGAATATATAGGCTATTAAACTCTATTTTTCAATACTGATGATGCTATCATATAATCATTTGTCATCAGGGCATACCATCTACATTTTGTTCTACTAATTTCTTTATTGTCTTCTCAAACCTCATTCAGTATATAATGGATTTATCGTGTTGAAGATAAACGTTCTTCTTAATTGTCTTCTCCAAATAACCTATCTTCTTATGATATTAGAAATATAATACCTATTTTGGTAAAGAAGAATGTTATTCTCTTTATGTTTATATATCGTAGAGAAAAAATCGTTTTATTTGAGTTAGGTCTTATATAGATATCAATGATGTATTATGACTTGCTAAAAGAGATGTTCGCAAAAAATGCGTTTCAATATCGTTTATTTTATCTTTATTAACAAAAAAAGTTTTTCTAGATCAATTTGATAGAAACTATATAATTCTCATCATGTTGGTTGCCATTATTGGTCTTCTATTGACGATAAATTCTCATGTATTACCAATAGATGAAGTAAGTATGAAAGAATTCTATTTTATTAGAAAGAACATTTAGTATTACTATAAAATTATTGTTTTAATTCAGATTCCTAGAAATAAAAGAAATGACTATGGAATGTTATCAGTTAATCGAACACGTTTAATTAGCACTATTTTAGAAGCACCATTTATGATGCTGAAACACAATCATAATGAAACATTCTTGGAACAAACTATTACTCAAGGAACAATACTTGATCCATCAATGGTCGAAGGGTATTGTGCGGATTTAGCATATACAATATGTCATGAAAAATTGAACATTTCGTATAAATTTTTCATTGAGACTAAATATGGTCATCGAGCTACCAATGGAGTATGGACTGGTATAATGGGTGCATTGATAAACCACAAAGCTGATTTAGCAGTAGCACCACTTATCGTTAATGCTGCACGTGAGAAATTAGTAGACTTTACTCTACCGTTTATGACCTCTGACATGTCCATGATAATGTTAAAACCTGCCAAACAAAAACCGGTAATACTATTTTTTAAAGTTATAACTAAATTTATCATATTGTTAATTTTTGAAAATAGGAATTATTCTTCTTCTTATTTCCAATGTCCAAAACAGTATGGTTTTGTGTTCTTCTTTCTTATATTCTCGTTAGTATTATCTTATTATTTATTAATCGAATTATAAATTACGAATATTATCCTCAAAATACATATGATACATTTTCAATGTGCACTGCTCTTTGTTTTCCATTGACTTGTTTGATGCATTGGAATATCTCTCGTTCAATCGCAGGTATCAGCATCTACATATATTCAATGATTTTTATTTGACATAGTTTGTGTTATTTCCTAGGTCGTGTTGCTATTAGTGCTTGGTGGTTATTTTGTCTAATTTTCTTTGCAATATATATTGCTGGTTTGATCGCATTATATCCTTTTCCCCCAAGAATGATATCACCTATAGAATCATTAGAAGATCTATCGAAACAAACAACAATTCGATATGGAATATTAAAAGATAGTTCAACCATGAATTTTTTCAATAAGTCAAATGATGATATGATTCAAAATATGTGGAATTTCATGCAAAAGCATAAAGACGATGCTTTCGTAACGTCATACCGTGTCGGAATTGAGAAAGTACGACAGTCAAAAGGTACATTTAATTATATTAAAAGTGTTGTTTATATTTAAAATCTTAAATTTCCTTAGGAAGATATGTCTTTCTTGCAGAATCCACATTTAGTGAATATATTAATGAACGTCTTCCTTGTGATATCATGGTCATTCGTGTGGATATTAATTCGAAAGAATATGGTATCGTAACACCATTGAAATCTGACCTACGTAAAGCAATTAATGTTGCCGTACTCGAGCTTCATGACAACGGTTTTCTTAAACGACTCAAACAGAAATGGTTCTATGAAAGATCGGAATGTACGAAGCTACAAACGAAAAATGATTTAAGATCAATGATGCAATTACATTCATCTCATATGGCTGGTGTCTTTTATGTATTGATTTTTGGTCTCGGTCTTGCTATAATTATTGCATTTTTCGAGTTTTTATCTAAAGCAAAGCATGATTCGATTCGTTTAAAACAAAATTTTGGCAAAGTAATGTGTGACAATCTACGTAACTCGATTAAAAGTGGAAATATAAAACAAAATACAAGTCCATCAACTATACCAGTTGCAATGGAAGCATCGAAAAACAACAAGGCGATACCCATCGACGAGGATCGCACATTAGTTGTTACATGAAAAAAAATGACAATAATCTATCTTATTTTCTCTGTCACAGTTTTAGTCATACCTTTCTTTCTTCATCTTATATTCTGTGTTCGACTTTCTAGATATTTCTATATTTTCCTCATAATTATCAGTGTGACCCTTGTAGTTGTGATTATATAATGAAAAAATTTTATACTTACACACAATTTTAAAAAAAGCTTCAAACGCTTACATCTCAAGTTTTTCTCTCTTGGTCATAATTTGTTAATGAGTGGTGAGGTTGTTGTCCCTTCGAAAGTCTTCTCCAATCAACACTTCAATGTGTCTAAATATCGTATTCGAAGAATATTCGAATAATCTATTGTACGAGTCTTACTTTGCGGGATGCGCGCGCCATCATCTTGTAGCTACACATACACGAACAACAGTAATCTAATCGAAGGAATCACACGGCTAATTGAACTGTGTAGTGGTCTAGTGATTATCTTGCACGCGCGGTGAGGGTAGTTACTGTTCAAATATTTCGACGTCTACCAAGAAGAATCAACCCAATCGATGATTGATTCTGCACCAGTAGCTGGAACGATCATAGCATTATAATCTAACACAAAATATCTTTGATGTTGTTTGTCGCTTCTCAACAATGTATTTGAATAAATAATGTGAAATTCTGCCGCGCTTCGTTGTCCACATCTTACTGAAGAACTATCGATGCATTACAACTCAAAGCAAAGCTGTGAGAGTGAAGATGTCGGTATTCTTTCGGTCAACATTCACATATACGCTTGTGTTGTTAGAACAAATGTATGATATCAGTCATTCTAGGGATATTCTTTGAAACTCTCCATGTCTTGAAAATCGCTAAGTTTTGGGCGATTAATCGCGATTTTCACTCGATGGATAATGACGATTTATTATAAGTTTTTCGTTCTTATTCCATTATCCTTCTTGTTTTGTGGAACTCACATTATTTTTCGAAGAAAAATAGTGAATGTAAGTTCTATATTCAGGATCTTTGGACCCCCCCCCCATGGGCCGCAAGCCGCTACGGGGTCACAGAATACAAGGGACGACAGGAGCTATACAGGCTCACCCCTGCAGGACTACAGGCGCTACAGGGGATGCACGCACTGTAACGACTATTGTAGCCGTTTGACCTATAGAAGTATTAGAAACGTAGAGAGTATTAGGGTTATGGAACATAGAAAAATGTTATCAGCGTATTCAAATTTCTATTATTTACCATTCAAGTAAAAATATTTGCATTTCAAATGCAGATTCGCTATTTTTTGCTGTGCTGTTTGGACCTTACTCTGTGTTATTTGAATTATGCAAAAATGGCCCAACGTGCACTTTACTCAGAAAAATCTCGGTTTGTCTGGAATTCTAAATAATTCTGACCGAATATTTCTATATTAAACTAAGGACAGTCAATTGTATATTGAATTCTTCAGTTGAATCAACTGCTTATACCTGTTGTGACCAGAGCTGCTTATCAGGCCCGGCTCCTGTCCAGGCTGAATTTTTCAAAATTTGGCCTGGCCTGGTCCGTCGAGTATATACGCTACTCTGGTCTGCAGGCCAGGCCAGTCCGAAGTTATCGGCCTGCCTAAAAAAAAAAACTATTTTTTTGCATCAGTTTACAAACATAAGATAGCACCAAAAAATGATCATTTTTTCTATTTTTTATGCATTATTTATGATTGGTGAATACTTTTTTTTAGATATAAAGATCAATGAATTAAATAATAATGAACTAAGAAAGGAAATATATGCATTTCATATAATTAATTTTATTTTTGTTCAATCCAGACAAAGAGTCACTTTATTTAGTTCGAATACAGGTTTCTTTTCTTAATTTTGACCACTATTCTACTAACCGATGTCGACTATATAGACACCTCTATATTTCATCATTCTTTCTGACTCATGTATTCCATCAGTAAGGCCAATTGATGATATTCAAATTATACCTATTATGGTTCTTACCGCAAATAGAGTTTTAAATATTTGGATGATAACAAGTAATGGGTTAGACTGTATGACATTTGGTTTGTATTTATAGCAGTGTCATACTAAGCCTTTATGCAATTAACTACATGATATTGTACTGTTTGCCCTAATGACCTTCGGATCTCCTCGTTAGAATATGGGTTTCGATAACGGTCTGTAGGGAGGGAGAGAGGTTGTAAAATTTTTTACATTAAACACCTCAACATTCTCATCCGGATCGTGTTTCACAAAACGTATACAATGATTGTGAGTTCTCTTTTTAACTTGATTTAGTATTTTTGTAATGAGAAAATGTTATTTTATTATTGTTATGAAAATGAATCACAGATTAACGCTGGAAATATGAATCAGTCCATAGTTTTAGGAATTACACTTGGCCTGTTACAGGTGCCTGATGGCCTGCCAGGCCAGCCCAAGCCAGAAAAAAGTGGCCTGTTCCCAGCTCTGTTGCACACGAACAGTTACCAAAACATCGTGCAAATGAGTATACATAGGAAGTGGACGAGTCTTTAAATAGATCATAATTAGTAAGTTGTCCAGTGAGTAAGGCATTACTTTGTATCATTTGTCGTGCTGTCGAAAGTGATGATAAAAAGTCATTCGTCATTGAAGAAATGAATTGAGAGATAGATGAATCAATTTGAGATTCGAATGTAAATGAAGGAACAACTGATGCAGTGACATATTGATTGGAATAGAACTGAGTTAGATGATTATTGATAGTTTGATTGACTAAATCACAAAATGTATTCAATGATTGAAATCTATTCGCGCTAGTAAAACGAAAATCATTTTTAGTTAATGTACTTTGTGAATTGTACCAAAGGAAATAATTAATCCAATCTTGAGTAATGAAAATTCTATAACATATTTGATGAAATGTATATTTGATTTGAAGAAACTTTTGATAAGTTATGGATATTTGTTGACATTCACATGATACTGTTTGTGAATATGTTAAGTATAATTCTGTATATTTGGGAATTGTTGGTTGAACGATGGTGATGGTTTGTGTGATATTGATGAGAGAACTGTAAAGAATCAGAATGACTAATGAAGATGCTAAGAGAATGATAAATAATCCAGTGGAGATACGTTGATTTCGAAGTTGTTGTTCATCCGTTGAGGGCAAAATCGATGGAAAGGGATTTAAATTTTCAATTTTCGATATAGTCAATTAACGAGAATAACCGTTTTCACTTTTTAATAATCTAAGAGAGTAATAGTGAATTTTGGGAAAAAAGTATTCTGAATTATTCGGCACAGAATGCACAAGTTATGACAAAGAGCGTTTTTTACATGCTTCAATGTTTATCAGTTACAAATGCTATATATCTCAATATTGCAGTAGATAACAACGTTTTTTCCAATTACAAAGTACTCTAAAATTTGTCGAGTATTTGTAAAACGCTGGTAACAAGCAAATAACAGAATATGACATTTTTATATTAACTTTTGATGTATTTTTTTATCACACAATTTTTTTCACGGCGTCATTTTATTACACTTTCAGAGTGAAGATCTGTAGGTGTACCTTGTTTTTTGTTCGAGAATCTCCGTCGAAAATAATATAATTTGATACACAATTAAATTCTGAATCTAACACATCCATTTTTTAAAGCCAACACATTTCACAGGGCGAATCCGGGCAAGTATATACAAAATTTTTTAAAATGGATGAAAAACTTTTTTTTCCAAAACGTTTATTTTTTGGACGGTGACCTCTCATCGAATTTGATACCATTCGATAGAGAATTAAATTGCACATCTAGCACAAGTTCACAGGCGAATCGGGACAAGAAATACTTGAATATGGCGCTAACTTTTCTCATGTGTGCTATGCTGACTCATAGGGTGAGAGTGTAGTGATGTGAGTGATCGTCGACTGTAGGGGGACTGATGTCGCCCCATGTCGATTAATTTTTTATAGTAACGTCACTACAGCGCCAAAACGGTATATTGCATCGTTAGTGAGGACGATATTGGCATTAATCATCGTGATGTACGCAAACGATCTGTGCGTCGCAGTCACGCGCACTAGCGTCACTCACTTCGCTGTTTTTATTTGTAATAAAAATAACTGCAGTATGCAATCGTATCACCAGCTATTCGACGATTTGATTGGTCATAATGTCACACCATTTATAAGCTTTCACTATCGTTTGTTTCTATTCTTCACGATATTTTGAATATTATCTTTTGCATTTTGTCACGAATA